TGCTTCAATTTTTTGTCGACATAGTTGCCAAATGTATATTTTGTCCCTAAACTGTCGGAAAAAATTTGCTTTTTATTAAGCCAAATTATCGATTTCCTTTAAAAAGAACACTATATATTTTTTCATACCCCTTTCTTCCCCTTTTCAAAAATGTATACATTGTGTTTATTTATTAAAGTTTTGGGGGAGACATTTGTTTATGAATCTACATCAAAAACATGTAATTGTAATTTTCTGTTCCAAGTTTATTCATTTTTTATTAATGTTTATGGGTGTATTTTCTGGTTTACTTCAAATAAAAAATTATCTGATACTTTTATAATTAACCGTATCCTTTTTCCAAAGCCGCCTGATATATTAGACAACGTTTTATCAAGGTGGTTTAGAAAAAAAATATAACTGACGTTAAGGAACGTGAAATAATTTATGTGAAGTAGAAGTAGATCAAGAACGAACACACTTAAATTTATTAATCGACAATCGATTATTTAAAATAATCGAAAATAATCGATTAATCGAAAGTAATCGATTAATCGTAAGTAATCGATTAATCGAACATAATCGATTAATCGAACATAATCGACGAATTAAATATAATCGGTTAATCAAAAATAATCGATTATTCGAAAAGATTAGATTAATCTAAAAAGATAGATTAATCTAACATAATCGATTTATAGGAAATAATCGGTCAATCGAAAAAATAGATTAAACGAAAATAATTCATTAATCGAAAATAATCGAATAATAGAAAATAATCGACTAATTAAAAATAATCGATTAATCGAAAAGAATAGATTCGAAAAAATCAATTAATCTAAAATAATCGAATCAAAAAGTAATCGATGGTCGAAAATAATCGAATCAAAAAGTAATCGATTTATCAAAAATAATCGATAAATTAAAAATAATTATTTTCGATTAATTTATAATAGTCGATTAATCGAAAATGATCGATTAATAAAAAATAATCAATTCATCGAAAATAATCGATTAATAAAAAATAATCGATTCATTGACAATAATAGATTAATCGAGTATAGATTAAAAACAATAACCGACTAATCGATTGTTAATCGATTATTTGGCCCACCCCTAATTATGACTGGTCATTGCCCAAGTACGGAAGCATTTTCATATCATGGGGCTGTCAGAACACCGGTGAAAAACAATTGTCAAGTACATCAAATCTGTAGGCTCGCTTACGAGGTAGGAGAGGCATATCACCTTAGGAGGATGTACAATGGGCCTAGTAAGGCCTAAGTGCCATGGGGTAACCCACCCTCCACACGTTACAGATATCAAGTGTGGGAGAAAATTTAAAATACCGCTAAACTTCACTTTTTTAAGAAATTTATGAAAAAAATTTAAAACAAATGCGTTTTTAAAGTGACTCGTATCAGATGTGTCGGAAAATTTGAAATGTACTGTAGTGTTTTTTCACAAATTTTCCAACGGAATCAATTTTAGCGATCGCATGATATGTGATCACTTGGCCTTTTATCTGTTACGAAACATTGATATTTTCTCGAATCATGTCTGAAAAATGTAAATCTTTCTTCGGGAAAGTGGTTTACCACCAATTTTTCGGCGAGACCAACTTATTTTTTTCGACGTTCAATTTGTCCGTTTTTAAAAATGTCCTTTCTCTTGGTAAAAACCGCAAAAAAAGAGTTTTAATTACATCTTGTTTTAAATAATAAATAACGCTACTTCTTGTAAACACTATTAACACCCTGTTCATCTGATCGAAGATTTTCATATGGTAATCTTATTTTCTTGACAAGCTGATTTTTTTTATTAAAAAGAAAATAATTTTCGTTGTTAAATCAATTATAATATTTTTTTTTCTTGTGGACTCATCTGTGAACATACTGGCACTAGATATACGGAGTGGCCCAAAAGTCTGGAAACGGCCAATTATCTCGTAAATTGCTAATCCTAATTGTACAAAATTTGGGGTACACCTATTTTGGGATACGGAGATTCCAGCTTTAATATTTGCAATGTTGCCAGATTTGCCGTTTCTCTTATATTATTAGTCATTTTGGTTTTTCAAATTTATCACCCTGTATATTCAGTCAATATTGGAATCTCCTATTCAATACGAGTTCAACCATATGTAACACTTATGATTTTATGTAGTCTGGATAAGAAATAAAAATAATCATAGAGAAATGTGGTAGACGCATTCTACCATCGATTAGGGTATTGTCAACTCACAAATGGAGCACATTTTGAACACTTGATAAAGTAACCATTATGTTAAAAATGTTATAATCTTTCAATTGTTACGTTTTAATGTAGTTGAAAATAGTTTGTATTAAAAAATTTATTGAGACAATTAGGCGTTGCCAGACTTATTTTATTTATTTAAGACCTTCCACACTACATAAAATCATAAGTGTAACAAATGGTTGAACTCGTATTGAATAGGAGATTCCAATAATGACTGAATATACAGGGTGATGAATTTGAAAAACCAAAGTGAAATAATTTAAAAGAAAGGCAAATCTGGCAATGTAGCAAATATCAAATCTGGAATCACCGTATCCCAAAATAGGTGTACCCCAAATTTTATACAATTAGGACTAGCAATTTACGAAATAATTGGCCGTTTCCAGACTTTTAGGCCACTCTGTAGAGTGAACTATTTGAAAACAGGCCACCCTCATAAATTTTTTATTTATAGAGCGATTTTGACGAATTTTTTTTTAAATGTGGAGGGGGAAAGGTCTATTTTTGGAGCCAAGCAGCGTTCAGTTTTTTTTTAAACCAATGCCTACTAGATCTCTCAGATGCTGAAAAATCCAGAATCCATATTAGCAATTTTTTTAGAGCTTACGTCTTAAAATAAAAATGTAGGTAATTATTTTTTTTTTAATTATTATATTCAAAGGCTGAAAATTGGTTTTTAAAACACATTTTTGCTAGACTGATTCTGATTAATGACCACTTGCGAGGCAATATGGCCGCTCGCAAAACGACCCGCTTTGAGCACTCTATATAACTATATGTTTATGATTGACCCTGTCAAAGACAACAGGACCACATGGGTTGCCATATCATAACCTGTCATTAACCACGGGCAGCATTTTCATAAGTCGTTGGAATGTCTAATTAATTTCTACAAAACGAACAGGGTGAAACGTTGAGCTGGCACGAGTTGTTAGGCCATGAGATACTGAAGTCCGTCATCTTGTACCATAAGTTTTATTGGTACAATTAGCAACAAAGCATTTTGTAGTTTTACAAATTGTATTTAACGCCTAACTAAAATTAAAAACGAAATAATAAATAAATAAAAAAATAATTTCAAATATTAAAACTGGCAAATCCAAACAACTCGAATAAATTCTACATTTCTCGGAAACAAGAATACGCAAATACTGATCACGTGATTTTCGAGGAAAAAGTTCAGCTTAAAAATATTTCCCGTACGCTTTGGCATACTTTACTTGCGTTGTGTTAAAATGTTGAAGGTTAATTGCGATTTTATCGTTTAAAATTAAAATAAAAAGAATAATAATTAACATGAAAAGGCCGATCTAACATACTTGACAATTATTTGGAAATCCATCTACAATTTAAAAGTTCAACCACTTCGTATGCTGTAAAACAAGACAATAAAGACAATTTTAAATTTGCCACGGTTATATCCAACATCAAATCTTTACCTGCCTAACAAGATAATGGATATTGATTCAATCTATATACGTCAAGTGTGCGCACATATAACACAGATGCCTACACAATGAAATCAACTCAAATTTACACCTTATTACCAACAAGCAAATCCATAACCAATAACCATGATATCCGTAACAGGAACAACTTGAGAGCAGCATCAATGAAAACATCAATGGAACAAAGAAGCTTATTAAGCAATGGTATCCTTATATATAAGAGGATCCTTGAAAAAATTCTGTCTACCAACAACATCCGTCATATCACAACTAAAGAAATTGATATTTGCAGGTTTCTTTAAGGATAATGAATGAACTAAGTTCTTCTGGCACATATCTTGTCATTCATCTTTGTTATATGTATTTAATGTTTTTTTCTTTCTATGTAATTAAAATGTCTGTCTTGGCCTGGAGAGCTCACATAGCGTGAGCTCAAACTCAATTATAATGAACTGTAATTTTTTTTTTCATCTTTTGTATAATATTTTTAATTTGAATAAATAATAATAAATAAAATAATTTTGTCGCACTATACTTGCTATACGTTTATTGTTTATTGAAAATAAAATATAACACTTATGTCATTACAAAATCTGTTCGCTCGGTTTTCAGCTATAATTCGATGTGCTCGTTTCCATCTAAATCTGTTAGTTCTGAACGCATATACAATAAATGGCACTTAAAAAGTTACAATTCCGAACGATTTTCGAGGCAACAGATTTAATTGAGGAGAAATATGTGCAATACCGAACTCAACCAATGTATTTGTTGCCATTATTGTCAACGTTGACAATCAAACCTACTGTTACAATCGTACCAACCTAAATTTGCGACCATGGTAAAAATTATATTTATTAAAATAGTTATTTTTAATCAACTGGTTAATTCTGAAATTCTTCATGAAAATTTAAAGTCCGGACTCTTTGTTCACCGTTGGTCCCGCACTGACTGCTAGATAACCAACTACTACTGTACCTTTTAAATACAAAAAGAAAGTTAGTCTTATTGGCGCCCAATATGCTGCCAATAGAATCATAACCTTAAAAACGTCCTTTCAACAAACAGATTTTCTAAATATAAAGGTAGTTACAAAATCACCTTTCACCCGACACAACATCAGATATGCTTACGTTTCTTTTTTCTATTATTGTCCAACAAAGAAGTGAGGCTACCGTACTTACTCGACACGTCATCTGTACAATTAAAGCTATGGGACGCAAAGCTGTTTTGAAAAATCTGTGGAAGAGATTCTGAAGATGCGACGCTACTATCATCGCCGTCCGGCTCGGTTTCCTTTCCGCCGACCGCCTCAGGTCATGGAATACGGTAGAAATTATTAAAACTTAATCTGACGCTCAACAACCTGAGATTCATGTTGACGCTCTTCGACAACAAATCGAGAAAATTCAAAACTATTATGTCATAAGTTTGCGCCGAGGTTTTGACTTTGACGCGCGTCGTGCTGAGGAATTGATGGAATGTGGCGCGTCGTAGAATATTGGCATTCTCCTCGTCGAGGTTGGTGCCGAAAGTATCGCAGGCGTTGAGTTTTTTCTGGTAAGCCGTGTACGCTTCGTGCTCGTCGGCGCAGGCTTGATAGAGAGCTTCTTGGTGCGATTCTAAGTTCATCACGAAGTTGTAGATGGAGATCAGGTGGGAAAAGAGTTGCTAAAATAATTTTTTTGTAAGTCACAAGTTACAGATACCCCAGGGTTCTTATGCTTAAAATTGGGATGAGAGAAATATTTTAATTTCTCTCGTGAAAATTCGTGTTGTTGAAATCGAATTCGCCAAAATTGGTAGTTTTCTCTCAAAACTTTCTCATACTTTTAAATAGAGAAAATGAAAATAACGAGATAATTTCATTCACAAGCGTGCGCAGTGTGTTTTAAACAACAAAATATATATTATAGTTAAACCAAAGATCTAGTGACTACCATAAAACAGCAGGTAATTTACTTATCAGCAGGCGTCTCTACGCAGAGACGTACCTACTCTAGCCATTAAGTTTTGTTCTATAGATCAATAATTGGGGTAAAATAAATATTAAGAAAAATCGCTATAATTTAGAATTGTTTAATTATACAGTGTGTACAAAAAGTAAAGTGGTAACTTGGTAAAAGCAAAAATCAGTATGACAAAGTACGAAAAAGTAGGTAGGTAATAAAAGTACGAAAAAGTAGGTAGGTAATAAAAGTACTAAAAAGTAAAAAATAAAGTATTTAAAAGTACAAAATGTAGGTTGAACATATAAAATATAATTATTAAAAAGTATAAAGTGGTAACTTGGTAAACATAAAAATCAGTATGACAAAGTACGAACAAGTAGCTAGGTCATAATGATTGTTTCTACCCTTACATTGTGGAATCTATTCATAATAAATAAAATATTAAAAAATGAAATGTAAAAATTCCACTATTGTCAATCCTGACGATAGAAGTTCATGCTTCTGAAACAATTGTCGATTTTGAATTACTCAGATAAATATTTTTATTAATATAGTGGAATTTTTACATTTCATTTTCTAATATTTTATTTATTTAACCAAATTTAAACAAAATTACGAAGTTTCGCTTTCATTATCGTCATCCAAATTAATAATGAATCTTTCTCTTGGTATCTTTTCTATATTAATATGTCTTTTCCACCTTTTTTTATATGGGAAACACACTCGGTCCAGCTGCTATCAGGAATTTTTGCAGCTTCTGTTTGAATAAGAGCTACCACAGTCGAACTTAAAGTTGGAGAAGTATTATTTCTTCGAACTGCTGTTCAATTAGATTAAACATACAGTGGTAAGGAGGAAGTCTGAGTACCGTATGTCCCAAGCTCTCAGCTAATGTGTTACAAAAATATTTCTTTTGTATTGAATAGCTTTTTAAAACTTCCAGTAACTGCTTTTTTGTGTACTTTCCCTCAAAGTATAAATCATTATTTACCGTGTAATCTTGTATGATGTCTTTTATGTCGTTTGAACAAGGTGCCTTATCTAGTCTTCGACTCTGACGATATCCATGACAATAACACTGTTGGGTGGAATATTTGGCAAAAGTTTAGTTTGGAACCAATCTTCAAATAATTCGGCATTAGTGTCGTCATGGTAATCGACTAAGGATCCTTAATATATTTTGCCGATAACGACAATGCATTAGGTATAAAACCATTATTGGTTCCTGTGTGTATTATAGTAATACGTTTGCCTTTATTATTATTTAGCACACCTATCAAGGTTATGGAAGCGGAACTTTGTGAGCCCTCATTAATTTTACGCAGACAATTTTTAGGAATTAAATTTATAGTTCTTTTAGTTGTAAGTGGTAAAACATTGCTAAATAAAATTGTACAATTAACTACCAGCTGCTTAACACATCAATATTGGAAAAAGAAAAAATTGCCATTATTTGTAGAAAGTTTTCTTGATTATTCAAATATATTTTCCGGAATTAATCCAAAAGAACACATGTCCTATTTAAAGTTAAATTACGAAGACTATTTAGTACCGTTCAGTTGTCATTTCAGTAAGATTCAAGCAACTGACGCCCTGACAAAAATTGATCATTTATTATATGTTGAAAATTACTGGGAAAATTACCAAAAGCTATACACAGATGGTTCAAAAAAAGACGGAAAAGTTGCCTATGCTATATATTATCCACAAAAAGCTATTAAAATTCAAAATAGATTACCCGATTTAATGACAATTTATACAGCAGAACTTATAGCAGTTAAAGAGGCTTTCAAAATATGTATAGAACAAAAAGAAATAGATTATATAATTTTTACGGACTGCAAAAGCATTGTTCAAAAATTAAGAGATATTACAATTAACAACGAAATAAATTATATTATCTATGAAATTATTGCTCTAAATAGTGAGGCAAGAAAAAAGGGAAAAAATATAACGTTATGTTGGATAAAGTCACATATTGGAATTAAAAATAACGAAATTGTAGATGATTTGGCAAAAAAAGGAACTGATGATAATATCATCATAAATTCATATCAAGTCCCAAGAGGCGATTTAAATTGCTATATTAAATTATTTGAAATAAGTAAGTGGCAAGACAATTATAACTGTTCAGACAAAGGTCAATTTTTTAAAAACATTCAAAGCAAGATACCCTCCATACCATGGTTTAGCAAATTCAGCAACAGAAGTTTTATTAGAACGACTTGTAGAATTAGAAGTAATCATTGCCTGACTCCAAATTATAAAAGAAGAATGGGATTGGTAGACAATGATGAATGCATCTGTGGTGAGGTAGCCGATTTACAACATTTACTTTTAGAATGTATTTTAAATGATATTGACATATCAAATCTATATACCAAACTTATTCAACATAATGTCCAACTACCTATTAATTTGTCACACCTTCTCGCCCTCAAGAATTTCGATGTATACAAAATTATTTATAATCATGTAAACTCCTTAAATTTAAAGCTCTGACAAAAATAATTAAAATATGTACAAAAATAAAAAATAATATAACAAAACTAAATAAAAAAAAAATTAAAACAAAAAAAAAATCAAAAAAAAGAAAAACAAAAAAAAACAGAAACAAAAACAAGTAAAAAACAAAAACAGACGAAAAAATCAAAAACAAGCAAAAACATGAGCTAGAAAAAACCTATTATAGGATTCACTTCTTAAAAATGTGTAATAGCCAGCCTAAAACGGCATCTAGCGGACTGTAGTTCATTTGTTAAGCCGCTATTACATTTTTCTTCGATGGCTGCACTGGGAGAGCATCCTGGAACACTTGGTGATTGGGAAAAATAATGCACTGGGAATCATTGAACATTCTATATTATCAAAAGGGTCGGTAAGCAGTTAGTGACACGTGGCAACACTGCCAAAACATGCCGGTCTTGCAGGCAAACGATTTATGTTATCTTTTACAATTATTCAATAGAGAGGAAAGGGGAAATAAACAAAAAAAAGAACCTGTGCAGGCTCTGCACCTGTAGGTGGGCTTCCTGCTTACAACTAGCACTTTTTACACTGATTTGCTGACATACGCACTAAGGCGGGAAACCCACACTCACTCGATGTAGAGAATTTACGTAGTTTCTTAATGTCGCGACTCGCGGGCCGATAATCCCGGGTCGAGTCCGTTAAGGGTGTGTTGCAAAGGCACTACTTTCCGCGTATGCAATAAATGCAGACTTTTTCTGCTCGAGCAGGGGAGGCGCGTTTCATCACAGAGTGTTAGAAATCTACTCTCGTCTTTTCACGTTGAGTGTTAGAGACGCACTGACTGTATTCCCGCGCCGACTCGCCTTAAACCCTTTCGTTTGGCCAATAAGGGAGCTTGATTATGGAGGGATTTTCTAATTATTCTTATTTATTATTATTTATGTGAGTTGTTTATTATTTTAACTATTAGAATTATTGATTAGGGCTTGTGCATTGTTATTGTTTATTTTTAGGCGTTGGTTTTTTATTATTTATGAAATAAAAGTGTATGACGTGTTCAGCCTTCGGCTATTTCCGTTGTATATATTTCTTGTGGGTTGTCAAACGTGCTGTTTGACATAGCGGTTTGAATTCAAATTCAAACATAATGTATTTAGAGAAATTTGTATTTTTCAAATAAAATGTGAACTGTGAAATATTGTAAGGATAGAACTTAAAATTTAATTAACACAAAATACACTTTATTAAAATTAATTAAAGATTGACTGGCCAGTTGGTTTTGAAACCAGTGCCAAACAGAAATACATACACACACACATTATGTGGCGCATTAGTCTGGCACAAGTCAGATGAGTCTACCCAACTTTTGTTTGCAGTATCGTGTGTATCGAACCAAGTTTCATCCAAATCACAACTGTTCTGCCAGCTTCTCTAAAATCATTTATCGTCAATAAATATTGAAATCTCCATTGCTTAAGGCGCACAGATTCCATTATGACTTTTTTGCTGTTATTAAATTTTTTAAATGTAAACCCGTTTCTTAAAAGAGACTTCCTTAAAGTCTCTTTGCTACACTGGATGCCAGTCAAGTCGTTGCATCAATATATCTAGTGTAGCCACAATTTGCTCTCTATAAAAGTCATATATTTTCCTTCGAATTAGGTCTACATCACAGCCATCTAGTTTCTTTGAAGTACCAGAGTATTTTCTTTTCCTTCTTTTTAAAATAGGGTGACTTACTATTTTAAATACTGTAGAATACGGCGTTTTCGTTAAAGAGGCAGTTTCTCGCACTGCTTGAGTCTTGGTCATTCCACGTTCCATAAGGGAGGTATAAACACTTAATATTTTTTTCCCATCAACGTGTAAAACTGGTCGATTAGTAGTTGAAGTACTGGCTACAGGTTTAACCCATGAACGGAACATTTTTCACTATATAAAATTTCGAAATAAACGCAACTGACACAACGGAATATTCGTTAATGACTGAATTTAGTTTAACTTCTATCCTCCTTTCGTTTCTAAAAACGGTAATTGGTCAGTTCTCAAAACAGTTACATACTAACTAACTCCCCATTATTTATTTAACTTTCTCTAATCTGGAATCTGGAATTATAGGACTCGATATCTTAAACAATAGTATTCTTGTCTTCAAAGTCTGGTAATTTATTTGTAACTCTATATGCCATTATCGCTAATCTTCTTAATAGACGTCTAGTACAGAAAGTCAGGTGGTCAGGAAAGTACATTTTATTTATAAGTACTTTAAATTCTAGGAAATTTTTTATCACAAAAATAGTTTTACATTCAAAACTGTTAACAATTGAAATAGAGAGCCCTCAATTACAAAATAGAGAGCCCTCAATTATAATTAGGGTGCTTCGTTTGAGACGACTATTTTTTTTATCACTCCATTGACGAATTATTGTTTTAAACATAGAAAAAAAAAATACCTACCAAAGGAGAGCTCTTAATTTTAATTTTAAGTACTCGCTAAATAAGTTTAAAGTTTTCCCATTTAATTAACCCGTAAAAATGAATTTTTTTGCTAAAATTATCTATAGCATAGCGACATTTTATGGCACTTATTTGATCATGGGTGGAAATTGGAGAGGGATAATTCCTCTTTAAATGCTCTTACAGCTAATTTCCAACTTTTGAATTATATTGCCAGTAAAAAATTGTGTAGTTTTTTCTCAAAAATGGTGATTTTTCGACTTTTTCTCTTAAACTATTCACTTGACATTAAAATTGCAAAGGACCTTTTTTGTAGAGAATTTAATATCGTACAAGATTGATTAAAAGCGGAACCTGCAAAGTAAATTGTTTCTGAGATAAATTTGATTAATTATAAGAAAACAATAAATGACTCTATTTTTTACTGGCAATATAATTCAAAAGTTGGAAATATGAGAATATATATTTTAATTCTGATCTGGGAATCTTTTAACCAACAGACAATTTTATTGCCTATCTACAAATCGAACAATAGTGATAATGAGAGTCGTCAGCTAATATGATTTATGAGAGTCACTAGATCTCTGGTTTTACTATTCTTCATTTATGTTGTTAGTCGTTTTTTACGAGGCATTTTTATATATTTGTGTTATGTTCTTTCCTTTTAAAAAGAATTGGGATGCGAAAATAATAATATTTATTTACATAAAAAATATATACCTAGGACTAGTCAAAGTGAAACTATACTATAAAAATTAAGCACATGCAATAATATAAGACAAAATAAAATATTAAAAAGCACAAATAAGTGATAGACAAAATGACAGAAACATAAAGCAACTTTTTTTGCAAGAGGTAGGGTCAGAAAAGTATTCCCGCACACTATATTAGGCCACTTCTAATAGTAACTGCTTTAAGGATCTTTTAAATTTGTCTAGAGTGTTTTTAAAATGATTAGGTAGGTGGTTGTAGATTTTTAAGATTCTAGGAAGGATGATCCAGTTTATATCTTCAGGATTCCACCAGTTGCTAGTTTATCGAAAAATAAAGGTACTTTTTGATGTACAGGGTTCAGATATCCAGAGACGTGCAAAACTGTTAGTTTGAATTTTTTCCTCGAAAACAAAGTAAGGTACAAAAAAATTTAAGAGACAGAAAAGTTGTATTTCTGGATATTTTGTTAAAAAAAAAACATGAAAAATTCAAAAAATCTACGCTGGAATTACTGGATCAACTATAACATGTCCGAAAGACATTTCATAAAGTTGTCAAAAAACTGAAAATTTCATAAAAATCGGTCAAAACTTTTTTTAGATATTAATAAAAACTATTTTAAAAAAACCTTTATTTACTTTCATTATTCGATAAACTATCGGCTGGCGAAATCCTGACGATATATACTGGACCACCATGTATATTTAGAAGTTTTCAAACTACGAGAAGTCGTTGTTTCGTTTTCTTGTTGTCATGGCATTATTATTATTTGTTCATGTATGTGAAATTTGCTTCTAAGGTTTATAAAATGCTACTGCTAGTCACGGCGTAAATGAAAACAAACAAGACGCATTCACACAAACACCTCCCACCCTAGTAATATGACGTTTCGCGTGTATATAATTTTGTGATTTGAGTACACTTTAGCGTGCACCTAGCAACAGCGTATTTTCTATAGTGCAAGAAATTCTTCTTTCAAAATATAGCAACTCTGTTAAATAATCCTGAAATTTTCCCACCGTCTATTATTTTGAAATCGTAGTAAAGATGTTGACAATTTTAATTAATTTGGAACAACATTGTTGTCTTGTAAATATGTTTTACTTGCCAGGATTGGTGTAAGCAGTAAATAAGTGATCTACAAAAAACATTTCTAAAGTAAGCCTTGGAAAAATGCACATATGTTGGAGCGTACAATTCTTTTTTTTTTTAATTATCAGTTTGGATTTAATTCAGAGCCGTGCATAGTTATCAAGGATATGACTCGTGTCTCAGCCGATCATGGCCTACTTTAGAAACATTTTTGTGGAGCACCCTTTAGTTTAATGCAATAAGTAGGTAGGTTAGAAAAATGTCGAAAAGTTGTTCATTTTTAAACACAGTGATGAAACAAAAATTTTATGAAAAATAAAATAAACAAGGCTAACTGTGTTTAAAAGAAAAGGCACACGATTTGTATTATTATTTATAAAATTGTATTATCGAATAAAAATTCATAACACCTTGGGCTAATGTGATGTAATTATACACTGTGATTAAACATTTTATTCATCTACTCAGTTTAATAAACTTTTAAAACAATGTGAAAAAGCAACAGACAAAAAGTGGTCATTCTATTTGCTCCAAGCCGCACCGGTTAGATAAATTAGATTCAGATTTCTTTTAATTTTTTAATTATATGTAAAGTTTTGATTGCTTCTCTATTTCCCTATTTTATAGTAAATTACTAAAAATTATTCTTTCGCAGTACTTTAATGAATGTAGGCATTAACTAGTGAGTATATAGTATATATTTTCTTATTTAGTTTATACTTTGACTAATATACTCCGTGAATGTAAACATTCGTTAGAGTTCTCCTTTTTACTATAAAAATATAAGAAAAATTGTTTGTTTTGAACTTATTTTACTAGTTTGAGGATGTAATTCAAATATTACATATCAACTAAATATTTATCAAACATTGCCATATTTATAACTTCAAAAAGTCAAAAAAATTTACCGTTTACCTTGAAATAATCAGTCGGCCAGTAATTCTTGTACTTCAAAAAATGATATCATGGCATTAATGACGTATCATTAAAAAAAAATCCCTGACATCCAGTTACAAAAAAGACTTGTTAAATCTATTAATAACTAATAATTCCATAAATATATTATGGCTCCTATACACGATCGGCCATGATGGGCCATTGTATCGCTATTTATGTGATTTGTGCACATAAACAATGTTAATTGTAAATTATAAATTATTCAAGAATGGTTTCTATTAACAGATCGGCGATCGTGTCAAAACATAAAAGCAACTACAGGCGATTACCTTTAACCCATCTGTAAAAAACCGATTACTCATCGATTACTGACGATCATTGCCAATCATGGTCGATCACAGACAAAAAGGCCTTCCACACGATGGTGATCGCCTGTGATCGCTCATAATGGCCAATCGTGTATAGGAACTATTAGAATGAACTGACTGAATGGCATAAACGTCAAATTATCTAGTCTAAACATCTGTCGAAATTTATCAGGATACTAAATTTTAATTTTCATTATTTTATGGGCCGTTTGCTTGAAATTATACAAATTCCTCTCTGGATTTGTTAAATCTAAAATTATATTATTAAAATGTAAATAAAGATTTTCTAGAATTTTAGTTTATTACTACGTAGGTTTTGGATACATTTTACCAATTTATGAATGAATAAGATTAAAAAAAGAATACTTACACTTACCCTAGAACTTTCATCTAACAACACCCCTCTTTGTATGGAAGACAAAAATCCCGTATGTGCAGCTATAATGTCGTCTAAACTTTCCGCTTTATTAACTTGATGTTGCATTTCGGCCCAGGAACATTCTAATACTTCAAATAGAAAGTAGTATTGTGTTTGATGGAGGAAATGTATCATTTTGCTGGTTAGAATATGAATGAGGTGCATTACTGGCCTTATCTCTGAAAAAAAAAACAGTATTTTAAACCTTGCACCGTTTTCTAGATATTTTGGATTTTAGGCTTAGTCATCAGTTTTAAAAGGTGTACTATGTTTATAGATTCCACTAGTATGTCCCTTTAAGTAAATTAAATCGAATACAGTGTTCCAATTAAAAAACCATAAATGGTTAGCAGGTGACACTATTAGCCCAATCGGATTAGGTGAAGAACAGGCTTGAGATTCTGAAAAATTCGAAGCAGCAATTTTCCTTCGGAATTCGTTGGAGGGGGTCTGTGGTAGTCTAAATTCAAAAAGTTGGGATTCCAAAGTTGTCGTTACCTCCGCCATCTTGATTTAAAGGGTTATTTTTTGTATCTTGAATAACTCATTTATTTTCAATTTTACACGAAAAATACTTTTTACAAAAGTTATTTAAAATTAAATTTCCTACAATTCTGCTTTTTTTTTGTACGATCGATTTTTTTCGATTTATACCCGAAAAGAGGGGGTGAATTTTTGGTTATAGAATAACTCGTTTATTTTCAATTTTACGAGAAAAATTGTTATAAACAAAGTTGTTTAAAATTAAATTTCCTACAATTCTGCTTTTTTTTTGTACGATCGAGTTTTTTCGATTTATACCCGAAAAGAGGGGGTGAATTTTTGGTTACAGAATAACTCGTTTATTTTCAATTTTACGAGAAAAATTGTTATAAACAAAGTTGTTTAAAATTAAATTTCCTACAATTCTGTTTTTTTTGTACGCTCGATTTTTTTGTATTTATCCCTGAGAAGAGTGGGGGTAAACTCTTAGAAAAAATCGGAATCATAATTGTACCAAATAACATTTTTGAAAATCAGCAAAAAAAAACAAACAGAAAAAATAATGGTACAACATCAATAATAAACGTGACAATACAATACTTAGGTTCACCCCCACTCTTCGCAGGGATAAATACAAAAAAATCGATCGTACAAAAAAAAACAGAATTGTAGGAAATTTAATTTTAAACAATCTTGTTTATAACAATTTTTCTCGTAAAATTGAAAATAAACGAGTTATTCTATAACCAAATATTCACCCCCTCTTTTCGGGTATAAATCGAAAAAAATCGATCGTACAAAAAAAAAGCAGAATTGTAGGAAATTTAATTTTAAACAACTTTGTTTATAACAATTTTTCTCGTAAAATTGAAAATAAACGAGTTATTCTATAACCAAAAATTCATCCCCTCTTTTCGGGTATAAATCGAAAAAAATCGATCGTACAAAAAAAAGCAGAATTGTAGGAAATTTAATTTTAAATAACTTTTGTAAAAACTATTTTCCGTGTAAAATTGAAAATAAATGAGTTATTCAAGATACAAAAAATAACCCTTTAAATCAAGATGGCGGAGGTAACGACAACTTTGGAATCCCAACTTTTTGAATTTAGACTACCAGAGACCCCTCCAACGAATTCCGAAGGAAAATTGCTGCTTCGAATTTTTCAGAATCTAAAATACTAATCCGATTGGGCTATATCTACAAAAGCATGTCAAATGCTTTTGACAGTGTCTGTCATAAACTGCGACTTAAGAAACCCTCCGAAATCGGTATCTCTGGTTCTTAACTTTACTGAAATAAATCTTACTTGAGTAACCGCTGTAAACGTGCCATAGTGCATAATTCAGTTTGTGACGTTTCAATTCTGTCCAGTGTTCCTCAAGATTCACATATTGGTCCCCTATTGTTTTCCTTATTTATTAATCCTGATTTCTTAATAGCCAATGCCTTCTTTTGGCAGATGATTTAAAGTTTTTTAGTGTAAATATTCGTAATAACTGACAATTAACGTGACAGTAGATTTTTTGAGTGCGTTTTGTTCGTTTTCTTTACCTAAATTATATCGTTTTTTTCACTTTTATAAATATATTCCTAAAGTAAGTAGATAGCATGTATCAAATATACAATCGTTTAGTTACCAATTACATACCTTTAAACTATTTTTTATGACCTGTAAACAATATTTTGAAATATAATAAAAACAGTAAAAACGTATATGTCAAATTTATTGATGTTTTTGTTAAAAGTTTGGTTAGAATTAAATGTCAGTGGAACCCTTAGATAAAAGAGACCAGAGATATAAAATACACCGGTGTTTAACCTGCGCAAATGTTGCCAATTTCTAAAGAAAGGTTAACGAAGTGGGGGAACTGGGCAGAAACCCGAAATCTGTGACAAGGACCGGACTTTGTTTATTAACATCATAATGAACTATTAGATTTATTTAAAATATATGTTTAATGGAATTTTGTATTATGAAATAAAATTAACGTGATTTTTTAATATCAAACAGATGCACAACATTTTATGTAAAAAGAAGACCTTTTATAGAATATTTCGTTAGCGTTTATTTACTACGGACTTTTCAGCAAGATACTACAGTAAAATGATGAAATAGAATATTGTTAATAGAGCAAGAAATGGTACTCATTGTCTACGAGTATTATAAAAAAGCATGTACGCAGGCGAATACTGCAAATCAAACTTTTTGAGTCAAACATTATATTTTTTCTACGGCTATTACATATTATTAAAAATTAGTCAAAATGAGAAAATGCTGTTTTGTATTGTAACCTCAGCTTCTTTCTTTAGGAATATTAATTAATATAGAGGATGAGTGATTGTCGAAATAAATAATCGATCATTGAAAATAATCGATTATTTTCGATCAATCCATTGTTTTCAATCTATTTGTTTTTCGTATTTCCTTTAAAATAGACTACTTGATTATCTTTGAAAAATCAAAAATAATCGATTAATTAAAAAGCCAATTAACCGATAAATCAGTGTTTACAAAAAATTATCGTTTATTTTAAATAATCGATTATTTTCAAATAATCCATTTTTTTTTCGTCCATTGAAACAGATTATTTGATAATCTTTGAAAAATCGAAAATAATCGATTAATTAAGGACAGCGTCTCCTAGGAATTTCTGAACAAAATTATGTCACTTTAGATTCAATCAAGGAGGTGCTGTTACCTACCGACTAGAGATTGAATTAGTGCAAATTATTACAGAAATCTTTAAGTAACTATAAATATCGACCGACTAGCTATTAGGGGATATTGTATTATAAACCGGTTTTTAGTAGACTGAGTTCGAAGAATCATAATAATAGTCCTGAACATAAAATCTATTTTTCAATAATTGCCGGGATTTCACCAAATAAAAAAAATTATTTCGCGATTGTGAAAACGGTCCAATCGTTTTATATGCCATTTATAATATTATAAAAATGTTAACTCTAGGACTCATTTTGGAGTATGAGCATACTTTATTTCAATACTTTTATTGTACTGTTTCATAAAATATTACCTACTTATTACATTTTATTTTTATCGAAAATTGACTTTGTTTCCTGGACCAAAGTAAAGAATGTAGATGGTAACAACCAAAACGATATCTTGCCTTACATTAAATATAAATATTTCCTAAAATAAATAATTTGGTTTATATACGGGTAGTAATACGAGGGATGTTTATAATTTCAAGTCACGAATATAGAGTCGTTTCAAAATATATTGCGACAATAATTGCGTCACATTGAGTCGGAGTGGGACGCTTATTGACGTGTTGCAATTCGCAATATATTTTAAAACTATTCTACCTAATTAATAAATTGTGATTTTGAAGTATCGAATGAAAACTATATTCTCATTGGTTAAAGATGGAAGTTTTTGTCATTTGAATGTTCAAGAATATTAATTGTGATTAATTGGTTAAACACTGAAGTTATCTGTTATCTGATGTTGGTACTAACCTAATGTTTTTGGGTAATTTTGACTGTCATTTCCTGGAATTTCCAGACCCGCATAAATATTTATCCTATTAAAGTACAAAAACCCTACAATAGATATTATGAGTAGGTATTTAACATTCATTTATCTTATCTTATCTTAGGTAGTTATTTCCCTGATTGTCAATAACACATTACCGTATATCTGTGCCAATATGACGTCACGACTTTTAATATACTTAATGAAGGCTGGGGGAAGGAGTTAAGAGTCTATAAATTTACAAACAAGCTTACGGGTATTTAGTTTTCAAAATTACATTACACGTTTCTGAAGTGTTTTATTATGCTGTTTGTTTTTAATAAGTGTTATTTTCTTTAATAGAAAATTTATTTATTTGTGCCAAGTGTCCTAGTGTACATTTTAATCAGTTTTATTTTTGGATAAATTGACATCGACTTCCTGCATTAAAGGTAGGTAGTATTTTTTTTCTATCACTCTCGAGTTCGTCATTGAATAAAAAAATTAAACGCTATAATTTTAACATTCAAATATTTGCAATTAAAAAATAATATTACGTATTAAATTGACAATAAAAAAACTTGTTATTTAATAATAATGTTTCATTATTCTGAATATATTTTTTCTACGATTAATATCCAAAGTAGGTAGGCTTTTGCACATTAAAATCTAAATAAAAAGTTGACGTTTTCTGCGAATTGTCATAATTTGACATTATTGGCGCACATTACCTAATATTCAAACCCATTTCCATGCTTAAAAATAGAAGATGGTGACATTCATTTAAAAGAAAACCATAACTACTTTTACCAGGTGAAAAATTTCAATACGTTAAAATAATTCATGATTTTTAAGAAATGTGCTAGAAATGATACTACAATATTAATATTCTTTTTATGTTTGATTTTCTAATAATGATTTTATATACTTTTAGATTCAAGGACAGCTAGGTATAGCTCCAAGAAAATTGTGCTACTTTGTAGTATATACTGGAGATGAAAATCCACTATTTGTTGAAAAAATTAATTTTCAACCCATTTTTTTTTTTAAATATGGTTGAAAAATTAGAAAAATTTTACTCGGAATATATGGCACCTGAGATAATTTTAAATAGAAGAGGACGAGGATTAAAATGTCTGGATACCCCATATAATAAAAATTAAAGTGCAAAGATTAGCAAATTTATAAAAATAATAATTTAATGGACTTTAATCATACAAGTACTTGAAATAATGGTTTTTTGCGCATAAGCATGTTCATACGTAATTTGCAATTGGTAATCACTAATCACAGATGGAAAAGTATATACGTCAACGATACGTTCTTTTATTTTTGATTTATTTTAACAGGTATAATATATGGTATGTTACATATAGTATAGATTTTTTATTTCTTGACCTAATTTATTTGTTACGTCTTCAGCAATTGTCGCTTTCAGTTGACATAAACGAAATTGATAAAAAGTGTTTTTCGCATTTTATTTTGACTGTTTCTCTTACTTTCGAATAGAAACTGAGCTTTGTAAACTTAAAATGACGGATATGTCAAACTAAAACTGACGGTAAAATGAAACATTGAGTATCGTTAAATGCAACTTTTGAACTAGTTTCAAAAATAGCATTAAAATGATATCATTCACAATGTACTAATTTCCTATACTTTTAGTTGATAAATAACCGATAATCATAACATAACAAATAGGCGCGTGTCAAAAGGTCACCGGCGAAAAAAGAGTGCCGATGAAAAAAGGTCGTTTCCAATTGTATCATATAAACAGTATCAGAGGCAGTATTATCATCTCGTTTATCCCCCGTAAACACACATAATATAAACGGAAATAATCAAATACTAGTCAAAATATTATCGATCGGAGCACCATCTTTATTACATTACATGAAGTAATTATTGATTTTTCGGGGTTTATTTAGAGTTAAATTAGACGCCATTTTTGGTCCAAATTCGTTTTGACATGTTTTTTCAAAGAAAGTGACTTATAAATTTCAAATCTACACGTTTTGAAAAATATACAATATTTAAATATTCTGAGTGTACCAAATTCCAAGTAAAGGTTGAACTTAGGTCGTATTACATTTTTTTTTTATTATTTGTTTGACATCGAGGTTAAAATAAATCTACACGGCACCTTTGAGATGAAATAAAAGGGGGTTATTTTACACGATTGGTTTTTATTGAAAATAATAAATTTATTAATTTTCAATAGTAAGGTGACCTAAGTTAGACCTTTATTTTTAATTTGGCCAAAAATTAGATTTTTAAACACTACATATTCGGAAAACTGTCGATTTAACTTTTGGTCTACACATACACTTTTAATACACAGGGATACCCCGTCCTTAAAAAGTCGATTAACTGATAAATCGATTTGTCGATTATTTTAAATAATCGATTATTTTCGATCAATCGATTATTATCAATAATTTATTTTTATTGTATTTCATTTAAAATCGATAATTCGGTTATCATTGAAATACCGAAAATAATCGATTAATTAAGAAGCCGATTCTACGATAAATCTATTTTCCAAAAAATTAACCGAATTATCGATTATTTTCTAATAATCCTTCTCATATTTCCTTTAAAATTAATTATTCTATTATCTTTGAAAAATCTAAAATAACCGATAAAAATCAATAAATCAAAAATAATTAATAAATATTAAAAAACTGATTAACCGATAAATCGATATTTCTAAAAAATAACCGAAATATTGGTTATATAAAATAACGAATTATATTCGATCAATCAATTATTTTCATATAATACCTTTGAAAATTTGAAAATAATCGATTAATCGAAAATAATCGATTAATCGAAAATAATAGATTAATCGAAAATAATCGATTAATTAAAACACCGATTAAAATATAAATCGATTTTTCCAAACAAATCGATGATTTTCAATTAATCGATTATTTTGAATAAATCTACTTTCTTTTTGTATTTCCTTTAAAATCGATTTTTACATTATCTTGAAATTTTAAGTTATTCATCCTGTATTTTATGTAATATTATAAAAATACTACTAATCAACTATGCTTCTTTACTTCTTATTTATCTACCAAAAAGAGCTAAAAACCACCTTTAGTAAATATTCTTATAAAACTACTTTTTAAAAACAAAATTTCGTTAGCAACAATGTCTATTTACTTCTTATTTAAATTAAATATTTAAAATTTTACCCTTTTGTAAATTTATGTAAGTAATACGAAATCTGTTTTCTGAAATGTATTTGATGAATATTTATTGAAATCCCTTAATGCGGATCTGATGTATTCAGCTCAAAGGATTATGGCGCTTTATGTCAAAACGTTAATAAATATTTACCGCTGAAAACGAATATATTTTTTATATTTCATAACACTGGTACTTGTATTATATGCATATATAATTTCTTAAGATACATCGTGGCATTTTGAGTTTAAAATTGAATAACTAGAACACTTTAAATTGCTAAAACACCAACAAATAAATCAAAAATAGTTGTCAATGGTGATTGAAACTCAGGCGGAGGTGAGCGTTGAATGGGAAATCGGAGCAATTCGGGTGGCGTCGTGCAAACAATGATTTTCAATTGGTGGGTTACTTGGAGTTAAAACAGACAACATACGCAGTGTGCAATGTTACATCTTCGGTCTCTTTTATCTAAGGTGGAACCAAAATTACATCACACTGAACTAGCGCATAGCGTGAAGTTAAAATGTATTAAAAAAAAGGTCGTTATTTATATTTTAATTTTTGTTCGAAAGAAAACATAGAATGAATGATTAAAACTGGTTTCCAATCAGTAAGTCACAAAATTGCATTCCAGCCACATATAATAATCAAAGGCAAAAATCTTGAAATCTAGTCCTTGCTAAATGAATATTTAAGAATAAAGAACATCGTAAAATGATAATTTATTGTTTATTTAAAACCTTTCAAGTTTCTGATGTCTACTATTTCCAGCATTACTTTTATTATTACAAAAATAAAGGTAATTTTTCTTCTTATTGTACACCTATCCATTTATTTATTTATTTGATTTAATTTCCACTTTGCTACTGAAATTTTTTATATAAGTTTTACTGTTTTTTTTTTGCTAGTATTTGTTCAATTTTCAACACAGCAACTCAGGTTGCTTATTGTATTGTTTTTACCTACTTTTTTGAAAAAAAAAAATAAAATGTATACCTGTATTTGATATGCCAAAATTACAAAATATCGCCCTAAAATGCACGAATTATCCGCAGCTAGCGCTAGTATCGCTTTTGCTTCCCTTTCCATGACTTCGCACGGGGCGAATAGTCATACTTACCTTTGACCCCTAAAAAAGTTAACGACTCTGGCGAGCATTTTCATCTGCGGCGTGCCAAGACAGTTCTACAGAGCGCCAAAATTAACTGTAGCCTCACTGGTTTTATACATGCCACACAGCTCTGCCTGGAATGCAGGAGAAAACAGGATTTCCTTTTATTCCCGGCAAAATTAATAGGCGGGCCACTACTTGAAACAGTTCAGTTATTGGTTTCGGCCTGACGGAATCGACACACATCATTTTCAAATGTAAAAAGACGCAGAACCGATTACGTACAACGTGCGTTTATGGGTTGCTTGTGCAAGACCTATAATAAATTTTAGCGCTAAAAAGAAACTTGCAACTCTGAAAGTTTAAGATTTACTCGAATCATTCGGCGGTATTGTAGTGTTCTATCCTTTTTTTTTAATATTTTATATTTTAGGTATACTGTATTATTTAGAGATTATTTTCTGTAAGATTACTTAGAGATTATCAACCTTGGCAAAATATAGGAGAAAAAATACACCAACCTCTTATTCCCCTGAAAGACTTCGCCATACAGATCTGCTGCCTTCTCATATTGGCCAACGTGTATTCCGTTCTCTTGGCTTTCCAAAGGGCCCCGAACAGGCTTTGGTACGTCGGCATGGTATGTTGGAAAATCGTACCAATGGGCCCATCGACGATATACACCAAACTGAACACGTCCCACCCGGAATCTCCCGCCGAATGGCTCATGAAACTGACGTTGAGTCGTTTCAGCGTGTCTTCGTCTTCATATTGAGCGTTCGTTACTCGAATTGCCGATTCCAAAATGGCGGATAACGTGTGACCGTAAATGTTTTCAGCGGGTTTGTTCAATTCCGGCCTAAAATAATTCATTAAACAATGAAATGGTATCATTAATATTAGGCGACGAAGCTGCTATTAACTTAAATAAATATATCAGACGGTCTCCTGGATTCAAAAGTTTCAACATTCAATCTATTATTAAACCAGGAGAGAATTTTGACAATGTACTGGTGAATGTGATTGTGGTAGCAGGTGCTAATGATTTTGACATGTCCAGGGTCCCTAAATTCAGAAATATTTGTTCGAAACTGAAACTATGTACCCACACTAACTTTATAATGGTGTCTGTTCCAATTTTGAGAAGACACAGTGACAAAAACCTAATCAAGAAAATTAATTTGAAACTAGACCATTTTCTGGATAAGTTGGACAATTATACAGAAGATGTTATATGTAAATATCAATTCTGAGCAAGGTGCCAAACTAAAACTGTCCGATATAATACGAAAAATTAGTGTAGCAATAATAGCAAAAATGTCTAAAAATTTTAAATTTATTATCACTGTGAAATCTAAAAATACAAACTGTAACATGTCTACTAACTTGGGCTCTATAGATTTGACAGGTTCAAATAATTTTACTGTTCTTCCTTTTGATAATAGTAACTTGGGTTCCATAGATTTGACAGGTTTAAATAATTTAACTGTTCTTCCTTTTGATAACGTATCTATCACACCCACAGTTAATAAGGATTCTCCCACAAAGTCTCAAACTCAAGATCCAAATTAAAAAGTATAATAAATATATTATATTTAAATACTGAGAGCTTGGTGGCCCACATTGATGAAATCTCTAATTATGTGTTGTCAAAAAAAACAAGTTTAGCATGTGTTTCTGAAACTTGCTTGACTGAGGATATTTATGTTTCAGAAATAGACATTGACGGATACAAAAATTATAGAATTGACAATGAAAGTAGACACACAGGGGGTGCTTTAATTTATGAACAAAGTGAACTGAAGGTTTTAAAATATTTTAAATTTTGTATTCCAAAAATTTGTTGGATTGTTTCTGTGATGGTAATATTAGGAAACAATTTTTTTTAATTGTATCTTTATATAGGTCACCTAGCAGTAGCTATTATTAGTGTATACATTTTTTAGATTGTTTTAGCACTTGGGCCGAAGAAAATGTATGTGATAATTCTCAAATAGTTATTGTTTCTGGAGATTTTAATATTGACCTGTTAACTGAAAACACAGTGCGAAATTAAGTGATATTTTGATTGATACTGGATTAAAAAATATTGCTACAGAATGCACAAGACCAATTAGAAGTGGTGAAGGTACACTACTAGATTTAGTTATAACAAATAATAACTTGGTTTCAGCTGAGGTTATCAAAACACCAAGAATTTCAGATCATTTTATGCTTTTAACAAATGTGCTATTAAATAGTGATGGACGATCTGTTTTTAAAATTGAAAGCATTCAACATTAGCATGGAACTATCATATTATGACATTAATGCAAAATATGATAATTTTGTAACAAATATTTTAAACGTATTAGATTATGTAGCGCCAAAAAAACAAATAAAAATATTTCCTAAATACAAAAAATGGTGGAATGAAAATGTAAAAGCTGCCACAAGGTACAGAGACCTTGCATATAAAAATTATTCACAAGAAAAAACAGAAAATAATTGGAATAAATACAAAATGCCTAGAAATAGGGCCGTTAACGTAATTAGAACAGAAAATGGTAAACACATAGAGAAAAATATTTACGAAAGTAGGGGAAATTCAAATGAAATGTGGAAATATCTTGAATGTCTGATTCCAAAAAATAATAAGTCGAATAAATTAGTTGAACTTGAACTAGAAAATAATGATATAAAAAATATTTTTGACATGCCAAATGCTCTTAATAAATTTTACATAGACAGTATCCAATCGATTGCTAGTATGATTGATCATACAATACCAGATTATCAAATTTTAGACAGACACAATGGACATTTCCTTAGAAAATTTCAACTATACAGGGTGTCCTTTAAAATGTGTCCCAAAATTCTCAGGCAGATTCCTTAACCAAAAAATGGAAAAAAAGTTTCTATAGACCTATGTCCTAAAGTGCCCCCTAAGCGAGCAATAGCCTCTCGAAATCATTTTTTTTATTTTGATTTTTTGAATTTTCTTAAAAATGGAAACAAATAAAAGAACCAAATTTTGGCTGTTAAATATGATCAATAATAGTGACCTTTTGACACCTTCAAAAAGAAATTATTTCGTCAGGGGTGTACTTGGGAATTTTTTGAAAATTTTGATTATTCATAACTTTTTTGTGTTTTTGGTAATGACTTATCCATATTTTTTTTTACATTCTACATTGAAAACTACGTCAAAAAGGAATACTTGTTTGATCTCGATTGGAGCAGCCGTTTCCGAGAAAACATCATCCAAAGATATTCGTGCAGTTTAGGTTAATTTTCAATTTTGGCTGTTGTAGCCAAAAAGTTGGAAATCGAGGAACACGGCTTACATGTCCCTATCCTTACTTTTGAAGGTCTATTCAGTGGCAAAAAATATTAGTTGATACAGGGTGATCAAAAATCGGATGTGATTTTGGATTTTGATCACCCTGTATCAAATAATATGTATTTTATGTTACTGAATAGACCTTAAAAAGTTAGGATAGGGACTGTAAGCCGTTTTCCTCGATTTCCAACTGTTTGGCTACAACAGCCACCTGAATTTGAAAAAATGTGATTTTTGAGTAGCTGTAGATCCTTTACTATTCATATTAGATAACAAGTGTGATATATCATTGAAATCAGATTATCGAGCAGATTCTAAAAATATAAAAATATACAGGGTGTTCCATTTAAAAAACATAACTTTGATTTGGCACGGCCTTATGAAACACCCTGTCACATCGTAACTAATTTTAAAATGTGAAGCTTAAAGCTGCCTACTTTTATTATAACAGATCTACAGAGCTTCCTCACACTAATCAATCACCCTGTATACTATTTTTAGCTCTCTAAATAAAATTTAAAAATTTAGTTCCCATTTATTTATTATGAAGACCATAAGGTTTGTATTTAGCTGTTTAGAATAAAAAAGTAAAAATATGTATTTTTTTGGCGTTTTTGTGTTTCATGGATAATTTTTTTCGCTCACTGATAAAAATGTTTCTTCAGTTAAACATTATTTCTAAAAGTATTCTGGTGCGATTCGTTGTATTGTTATTATTTTGTTTAAAATGGCTCACAATAACTACAATAATGATTACACATTCGGCGAAATGACGGACATGCACTTATGTTTTGGACTCGCTTCTGGAAATGCCAATGAAGCTCGCAGACTTTATCAGGAGCGCTTTCCAAATAGGCATCTTCCATGCGCTAAGACGTTTTCTAGAATTGACGATAGACTTCGGGAAACTGGTACATTTAAGAAAAACTCTAGTAACAGTGGAAGACAAAATCCAAAATCACATCCGATTTTTGATCACCCTGTATCAACTAATATTTTTTGCCACTGAATAGACCTTCAAAAGTAAGGATAGGGACATGTAAGCCGTGTTCCTCGATTTCCAACTTTTTGGCTACAACAGCCAAAATTGAAAATTAACCTAAACTGCACGAATATCTTTGGATGATGTTTTCTCGGAAACGGCTGCTCCAATCGAGATCAAACAAGTATTCCTTTTTGACGTAGTTTTCAATGTAGAATGTAAAAAAAAATATGGATAAGTCATTACCAAAAACACAAAAAAGTTATGAATAATCAAAATTTTCAAAAAATTCCCAAGTACACCCCTGACGAAATAATTTCTTTTTGAAGGTGTCAAAAGGTCACTATTATTGATCATATTTAACAGCCAAAATTTGGTTCTTTTATTTGTTTCCATTTTTAAGAAAATTCAAAAAATCAAAATAAAAAAAATGATTTCGAGAGGCTGTTGCTCGCTTAGGGGGCACTTTAGGAACTTTTTTTCCATTTTTTGGTTAAGGAATCTGCCTGAGAATTTTGGGACACATTTTAAAGGACACCCTGTATATGGTGGATTTTTTAAGAGACATTCTTTTTGCAATGAAAAATAAAAGGAGCACAGATGACATTAACATTAATATTTAAAAAAACTGTTTTCCCAACCTCTCAGAACCACTTTTAAATTTGATAAATTCGTCATTAGAAATTTCAAAAATACCTAATGCCTGTTCCAAATACAAAAAACGCAAATATGTTAAGCTGTATCGAAAAAATCATTGAGAAGGTCGTTTATGAACAAATTGTTAATTTTTTAGAACAAAATAAACTTATTACTAGAATACAATCGGGCTTCAGACGCAAACATAACTGTGAATCAACTATCCGGTGTGTTTTATATGATTGGAAATATAAATTTGATAAAAACTATCTAACATTGGCAGTTTTTATAGATCTTCAAAGGGCATTCGAGACTGTTGATCAAAACCGTTTGATAAAAATTTTGTCAAAGGAAATCAACTATATCAGAGGTGTTCTGCAGGGAAGTATATTGGGTCCCCTGTTGTTTTTAGTGTATATCAATGACATTGTTGATTTCAAGGGTCAATGTGACATTCACCTATTTGCTGATGATGCCCTAATATATTTTTCTTGTAAGGATTCAGATAACTTGGTGAAAGTTGTTAATGAAACATTGCAACATGTTTATAAATGGTGTTGCAATAATTTGTTGAAAATTAACACAAATAAAACAAAATGTATGCCGATAAGTAGCAACTACAACTATACACAGTTTGTTGATAAACAATATAACATAACAATTGGAGGAAATTCTATACAGTTAGTAGAAAAATTCAAATACTTAGGGGTAATGATTGACAAGCAGATGAGATTCATAGATCATGCCAACACTGTTATCAAAACTATTGCATCCAAGTTAAATTTCCTATTTAGAAGTTCATTTGTTATCACAGTGGACTAAATGTATTATATACAGGGTGGGGACTTTAACTGGCGCAAATTCGTTACAGCTTCAGGTTGAAAAATGCGGATAAAACGCAAAAACACATCGATTGAGTTATTTTGTAAGCTATCCGGTCATATCAAAAAAAAATTTTTTTTCACCCCCTTTACAGGGTAAAACTCACCCCGACTTCAGTTTTTTAAATGGGAGGATACCACTTGTGGCACCTTGTTGGAAAGGTCTTTCCAAAAGAAAATGGATTGTGCCATTTTTTTTTCATTTTTACCCAATGGTAATTTTCTAGCGTGAAAAAATTATTTCATATCAATAAATTCTTCTGATGCTTACAAAACCATTCTAAGGTACAGTTTTAAGTGGTCAGTATTTTCTCAATTTGTTTTTAGAAAAGTGTATGAACCGCTTAATCTCAATTTGGACTTTTTATTGTAAAAATGGACTCGGAAAAAATGAAGGTAAGTATAGGAACAAAAAAATTATCGCATCTTTATCAATTGTAAGGCTGCAATGAATCGAATTAGTATTCTTCATTTTCGTTAAAAATGCCGGCGTATTTAACGGAAACTTTGAAAATATAAATTTTGATGATGATTGGGTTCGGGGATCGGATGCGTACCCAAGCAGAAGTTGCGACATTATTTCAAGCGCGAGATCCAGAATTGCCTCCGTCACACCGGGCTACAGTAGGCAAAATTGAGGCTCATTTCAGGTTGCACGGGCATTTACGGCAAATTCCTCGAGAAAGGCCACAACGAGTAGACGAAGACACTAGACTAAATGTTCTTCTAACATTTGAAAAAAATCCAATCAGTTCTGCCAGACGAGTAAGTAGGGAATTTGATTTTTGCCATAAAACTGTATTGGCTATCTTGAAATCTGCTGGTAAAAGACCCTTCAAAATGAAGCCTGTGCATGAGTTGATGGAAGATGATCCCGATCGGAGGGTGGAGTTTTGTGAAACCATAATGAGACAAATCGATGATGGAAATATTTTACCGGATTGGATATTGTTTTCCGATGAATCAACTTTTACCTTAAATGGAGAGGTGAGTCTTTTTGATTAGGCACCTATCGATAACTCGCAACAATATTGTTAAATCTGTACGCTTTAGGAACGTTAGTGATCAAAGATCTTTAACTTTTGTGTCTTCATTTTTAGGTAAATCGTCAAAATTGTAGGTACTATGCAGAAACAAATCCACATTGGATAGTTGAGCAGCATAGTCAATATCAAGGAAAAATCAACGTATGGGCTGGAATAATTGGAGATAGAATTATTGGACCCATATTCTTTGACCAAAATTTAACCGGCGACAGATATTTGGAATTTTTACAAAATACGTTGGTACCTGAACTCATCCAAACGTTTCCGATAGAAGATGGACCATTGATCAAAGAATTTTCTTCCAACAAGATGGGGCTCCACCTCATTACACTCTCAATGTACGACAGTTTTTAAATTACTTTTTCCAGAACAGGTGGATTGGAAGAAGGGGATTTATTGAATGGCCAGCTAGATCTCCTGATCTTACTTCATTAGATTTTTATTTATGGGGCTTCTTAAAATGTAAGGTATACGCCACAAGACCCAATAATATTGAAGAGCTAAAGGATAGAATTAGAGAAGAAATTCGGCAAATTACACCAGAAACATTAAGAAGGCTTCAAGCTGAATTTTACCACCGTGTTGCTCTTTGTCAAGAAGTAAATGTTGCTCATTTTGAACAGTTGCTAAAATAAAAAGAAATAAATCCACTTAGCAAGTAGAATATGTATTATTTTTTATTTAAATGTAAAACAAAACTTAATTTTCCATGAATTACCTTCCATTTTCATGTTTCTATGAATAATTTGGGAATTCCTAACCATGCAGATGGTTGAATTTTGTGTAAATATTTAAGATAAAACACACTGACTATAATTTTAGAGCCCAGTTTATGCACAACTAATTTTTGTTGAATTTCGTCCCCGATTCTTCTTTTTTCACGCTAAAAAATAGCATAACAGTTAAAATGAAAAAAAAAATGGCACAATCAATTTTCTTATGGAAAGACCTTTCCAACAAGGCACCGCAAGTGGTACCATCCCATTTAAAAAAATTAGGTCGGGGTGAGTTTCACCCTTTAAAGGGGATGAAAAAAAAAAATTTTTGGTATGACCAGAAAGCTTACAAAAAATCTCAATTGACGTGTTTTTGCGTTTTATCCGCATCTTTCAACCTGAAGCTGTAGCGAATTTGCGCCAGTTAAAGTCCCCATCTTGTATAATACTATAATTCTACCTCACTTTAATTATTGCTCTACAATACTCTTTTTACTAAATCAAAATGAGTTGAGCCGACTACAGAAGCTGCAGAATAGGGCTATGCGAATAATATCCTGTTCAAAATATACTTCCATTAATCTAATGCTTGAAACTTTGAGGTGGATGTCAATCAAAAGTCTCTTATTACAGAAAGCGTTAACTTTTATTTATAAAATCAAACATGGGTTACTTCCAAAGTACCTAAAAGAGAAGCTTAATTATCACTTTAATGTGCACAATTATCCAACGCGGAACAGAAATAACTTTTATATTGAAACAGTTGTTAAGAGTGCAACACAAAATTCGCTATTTTTTAAAGGTCTAAATCAATATAACGCACTTTCAGAGTAAATTAAATCAGTAACGTCTGTAACTACATTTAAAGTCAAAGTGACAGATTTAATTGATGAATATTTCTCCAGAAACAGTAACAACCTATAGAATTTTAGTTAGTTTTAATTGTATCTAAATTATCTATGTTTTGACTTACATGTATATGTATATTTTTACTAAATTTGTATATTGTGATATTAGCAAACTAGCTAAATAAAGGAAATAATATCAAATAACAATAATATGCCGTAGTGTGAACGCACCGGAAAGAAAAAGTTAATAAAAGGGAAACTGGACATCAATGAAGAAATTGTATCAAAGAATACCTACCAAAAAAGCAAACCTTCATAGACAAAATATCTAATAGAAATCGCCGTATATTCTGAGTGTTTCACTAGTGTTTTAATATCAAATATAGCAGCTATCACTTTATATAGAGTGGTATTAGTAGTGTCTATTATTGTTTTTTATGAATATTTAAATTAAGTAGTTGTATTTAAAAAGTAATTAGTTAATTTTAGGATTTGTATTACCCTAAGAATAATGCAGTGATTATGCTTCCACATCAAACCAAATTTTCTTTTGTATGTCATTGTAAATTTAATAGATATGAAAAACCAATAAAAAATATATTTTTATTTTTTATTATTTATTTCTTGGGTAGGTATTCTTTAACATTATATGTTTTATATATATTCCGTATATTTTTATATTTCATATTTTCAATATAGACTTTAGACCATGCAGAACTTTTTATAAAGAATAACTTTTTTTTTGTAAAACGAATAATAAATAGTTCCAACAGTAGACATACTTAATATTATATCCCTTGCAAAATGTATGACTTACGCTAAAAGTTCCAGCAAATGTCTGATAAAATCTCCTTGACCTAACAACAAATATCTCCTAAGGGATTGTAAATGTTCATATAATTTATATTTATTCTTTAATAAGTCTAAAACTCGTATCGAAGTTTCTTTATAGACGTTTTCTAAAGTTGTATGGAATTCTATGCTTTGTTCGGGGGCAAATAAAGATTCAGCTGAAAATTAATAGAAAATTAGATTAAAATAGGGTATTAACATTATTACAAAGCATACGAAGACTTTTAATTGTCAATAATAATTAAGGCGATAAACAGATTTTATCACAAATACTTTATTTAAAAATCGTTAAAGTATTTTACCCAGAACTTCCCTCGATATAGAAATTATAAAAACAGGGAACGCCTAATTACTTAAATTTTAATAATTTAAAATTGAAACCACCAAACCCAAAACCCTTTTTCACATTAATTTCCTCTTGGTCCTATCTGAAATCTCACTTCGTGTCCGCTCGGTATTCTTCGTCAAACTCACCGTTATTGAACAATAATGATTAGTTGCTTTTCAAATGGTTCATTTGCACAAACCAAAAGGACGATTTTTTTATTCCTATTTAAGGGGGATATTTTTGATTAAATGTGATTCCTTTCAAGGCCATTTTAAATTTTAAAAAATTATTTAGGATCTATTATTTTTGGCTTCTTGAATTCTCATATACCTATTTTAGGCAACCTGAATTTTTAGAAAGAATAAACATTTGGCATATATCAACTCTCCATCCTAGTGTCTATGGATAGTTAACCTCTCAGGTCAAAGTTCTGCAAGTTAAAAACGTCGCCAAGAAATGTCTCCAGATGCTCATTATTTGGAAGTGGCCATTTAATGGGCATCTACCACTCCGAAGGTAAATGCCCGGGTGAATTTGAGTAGACACACTTCCTTTCGATTACTTGAATCCTCAGATCTTCAATCATTGACAACAAAGAAATGAACATTCTACACATATGTCACCAAGCATCCGAAATTTAAACAGTAGATTGTGCATATGCAACACGGTTAACATTAAAAAATAATAAAGTGGTGCAAGCAGTAGATCTTGAGCCTATGTTTTTAAATTTAAAATAAAGCTCAAACTAATCCATTAAGTAAACTAATATAAATTGACTTGAAACATGATTAACATTTATTTAAATCTTTTTTACCTGTACTAGTTTTAAATAATTTCTGCAGTGATACTCTACCAGGCAATTCTCCACCATCCTTACAAATTTGTCTTAAGAAATTTATACTTTTGCCCGTGGCGAGAATTTTATTAGCCTGACTCATTGTTATAAAAGATGGCACCATCGATTTTCTGACGTTATATTTGTCATGCCACAGCCGTTCAGCAGACAGTATCGTTTTGGCTTCTATGAAAAATTCATTGCATGGATCGTTTAATTCACCATCAAGCAGCCATCGTGACAGCATGACATATAAAGGTTTGCAAACTGACTTGAGAACTGTTTCTGAAACCTAGAAAATAAATATATCCCATTATTTTCTATAACTATTATTAATTGATAATTTGGGAACATTTTTAATAGTTTAATCGAAAACATTTTTTTTATTGGCCTGTAATGTGTAAATTATTTTCAGGGGATCGATTCTCGATCTGTAAGAACTTTTTCCTATAGAAATTTCCTATCTGTAATAACTAGCTGTTGCCCGTGGCTTTGCAATATAAAAAGGAGCGATATGTTTTTTAGGGTTTATGGTATGTGTGTGTGTGAGTATTGTAGATTAGAGTTAAGTAGAGTAATCTAATATTCAAGTATAGTAAATTTCTGGTACTGCTCTTATCTGCTAAAATCACCAGATAGCTTGCAGAACTGACTCTCTATCAGGCCACATAAAATTGTTCGTGAGAAAAGCAGTCCCCCCTTTCGATTTCGAGGTGTCTGGACATCGAAATATGTCGTGTTATCAATTCAATCAATATTTATTCATTTCATTTTCACTTATTTGTTTTTATTTATTTTTATTTATTTTTATTTATTTTTATTTATTTTTATTTATTTTTATTTATTTTTATTTATTTTTATTTATTTTTATTTATTTTTATTTATTTTTATTTATTTTTATTTATTTTTATTTATTTTTATTTATTTTTATTTATTTTTATTTATTTTTATTTATTTTTATTTATTTTTATTTATTTTTATTTATTTTTATTTATTTTTATTTATTTTTATTTATTTTTATTTATTTTTATTTATTTTTATTTATTTTTATTTATTTTTATTTATTTTTATTTATTTTTATTTATTTTTATTTATTTTTATTTATTTTTATTTATTTTTATTTATTTTTATTTATTTTTATTTATTTTTATTTATTTTTATTTATTTTTATTTATTTTTATTTATTTTTATTTATTTTTATTTATTTTTATTTATTTTTATTTATTTTGTTATTACTACAATCCCAATTTTCAAGTTCCTACCTTTTAAAAAACCCATACAAACAAATTAACACTGATATAATTATAATTGTTATAATTACCTCTCTGGCACATTTGGAGCCATGCTGAAGGAAACCATGAATAGCAGTTATAAGAGCACCACCTTTTTTATCACTGCACTGTTCAGAAATGTAAGCCAGCCATTCGAATCTAGTATAGTGATCAGATATCACATATAGAGCTCTCTTTAAAGTCATATCTGAGAAATTTGCAGTACTTTGTCTGTTCATCTAAAAATAAAAAAACAACTTATCCAACTAATAATTAAAACAGCTTGATATCAAGCTAGCAGAGCAACTATAGATTTTTCAAACTCCATAATTTTAGGCTTATTTTCTACCAACAAAAAAATCCACTCCTTTCTTTATAGGAAAAATTTGGTAAGCTGCAGGCTCAACAATGGGCAGGCATTTATTGCGTTTTTCATTAAAAAATTCAACAATGTAAAAAATGATCATGGCATAATTTTAGGCTCATTTTAGGCTAATTCTTTACTAACATCAAAAGTTTCCCTTCTTGCTTTTGTCGGAAAAAATTAAGAAAACTAAAAAATGAACTAGGCCTAATTTTAGGCTCATTTTAGGCTAATTCTAATACATCAAAAACATTTCTGCTCTTGTCTTTATTGGAAAAATGAGGTACTCTGCTAGCTTGACAATACAAGTTTATAGTTTTTCATTCAAAAAATTGAGGACACTAAAAAATGGACACCCTATAATTTTGGGCTCATTTTGGGCTAATTCTATACCAACAAAAAAAATTTTTTGCTCTTGCCTCTATTGGAAAAATTAGGTGCTCTGCTAGCTTGACAATACTTTATAGTTTTTCCTTACAAATTGAACACATAATTTTAGGCTCATTTTAGGCTAATTCTATTCCAACAAAAAAAATCTGGTCTTATGTTTATTAGAAAAATTAGGGGTGCAAAAAATTGAGGACACTAAAAAATGGACATGTCAATTTTAGACTCATTTTAGGCTAATTCTATACCAGAGCTGGGAGTAACGAAACGATAACGTTACTTTTTAGTAACGCGTTACTTAAAGTAACGCGTTACTTAAAGTAACGTGTTACTAGTAATTTCGTTACTTTTTTAAATCAGCGAAAAGTAACGGTAACGGCGTTACTTTTTCAAAGTAACGTAAAATCGTTACTTAGTTACAGTAACGCGTTACTTTAAAAGTAACGCGTTACTACAAAAGTAACGCGTTACTTTTAAGTATCACGTTACTTTTAAGAAACGCGTTACTCTTAAGTAACGCGTTACTGCAAAAATAACACGTTACTACAAAAGTAACGCGTTATTACAAGAAAGGCGTTACTTCTTAAAACTGAGGTTTTTATTTGTTTTACAGTTTTATCCCGTGCATTTCGCACGCTTTGATAATAGTGATAATACATAATTATGTGCACTACATCCCACACAAATTATTTTTTAACATATTACAATAAAAAAAAATTTGTAGTCAAAAAATGTTGCTTCTAGAAGGTGTGCGTGCGTGCGTGGGTGTGTGTGTGAGTGAGTGAGTGAGTTTGTGTGTGCGCGCGCGGGCGTGCGTGCGTGTGTGGGTGTTACCATACCCTGATATTACAGATTACAGGGTGTAACAAAAAGGTGTATAGTAAATTTAGCCACAGTTTCTGGAGTCGAAAAAAGGTCGATTTAAGCTAACTTGCTTAAAAATGTTCACGTTTCTTCATGAAGAAAAAAATCGTGAAAAAATATTCAGTCGTTTGATTAGAAGAAAAATTTAAGTAATTATTATTTTACATTATGACCTATGGCCTTCTGGGTCCTATGACGCTATTAGGTAATTAACTCTTTCACAAACAAATACCAAGAGAAATTTAAAAACAAACGTAGGATTTCAGTGGCGTTGTTTTTAACTGAATTTCATTGTCTAAAAAAGTAGAGGATCAAAGGGGTTCGAACCCTCTCAAAAAACCCAAAGAATTAAAACAAGTTTAAATGCCACTAACCCTATTTTGTTGGTCAATGTATACTAACATCCCATGTACATTTTCATAAAAATTTGTTGGACCGCTTTAGAGTAAGAGTAATAAATTACTTCTTAAATGTTTACTTTGACAACCTGTAAACTTTTTTACTATCCATTTTTTATAAAAGCAAAACTTTTTTGATCCCCGAAATTAGTTTAATTTACTGTGCACCTTTTTGTTACACCCTGTATATTTCTAATTATTTTGTATTGAAAGCAAATTAATATGCATACTTCGTCTTTATACCTATTTATTTTATGTTGCTAATCTAATTTTTATATCGTGATTTTATTAATTTTGTTTACACAATGTCGGCTGTATCGTTTGTTGATCATCAAAGTTATAAGGATTATTTCAAGGAATGAACGTAAATGTTATGAGAAGAAAAAGTGCAATAAAAAAAGTTCCAGAATTTTGGTTAAAAAAACAAGAGGATTTAAAAGGAGAATTTCAAAATATAAGTTTTTTAACACTACTGCAGATATTTGGTCTTCCAAAATTTTAAATTTTTTTGCACGGTTTAATAGAGAATAAAACCCCCTTTCAAATGAGCTATCACTCACCACCCCATGCCATTTAAATTTTTCGAACGGGTTGCTCTCCAGTAAGGGATGAAATTAAGGGTAAACTATTCATACAAAAACGTACATAGTAGAAATCAAAAATCGACGTGTCTCGGCAATTTTCGTAACAAGACTCCAGTAACGAGTTAGATAGAGGGGGAAGACTTATGATGCTCACTGTATAGACATTAACTTTATTGAATTTCTCGACGAGGAAGACAACTGTGTTACGGAAAAGGACAAACTCATAGAATTACAAGTTCTACAATTTTTGCAGGATCCCGATATTAATTTGTCTATGTTAAAAAAGTATCCGTACGTACAAAATGTTATTAAATTTAATACCTTCTTCAGCCCCAGTTGAACGTCTATTTTCGTATGCCACTTTTGTAAATGCGCATAGAAGACTTGCTTTATCTGATGAAAATTTTGAAAATCTAATTCTGTTGAAATGTAATAATAAAAATAATTAATATTTAATTATGAGGATGAGTGTTGAGGTACTGGAAAGGTAATAAGTTATCAAATTAAAATGTTATTTTTTAAATGTACCTAATTTCTTTAGTGTTTGTACTTGAGTATTTAGCATTATAATTTTAACTAGTTTTATTACATTTATCTCACCCTCACCCCTCTACATTTGATGATAGAGAATGTGGCAAAAAGGACACGATATAGAATGATCAGGAGCGGAGTAATCAGACGAAAGTCTACTTGCTTCAGGACTAAAGATACCTGGGACATGCCCCAGGATGAAATGCAAAAGAAGTACAGTTTTGTGAAAAACTTCAAAACCACAGAGCTGGGCTGCAAGAAAGAATGGAGCCAAGAATCCATAGCGCTTGCAACCGAAAGACGTGCTATTCAGTGGTACACGGACGGTTCCAAAACCATAGAAGGAACTGGAATAGGAGTGTATGGGCCGAGAACCAAGCACTCCGAAAGCTTGGGAAAATACCCAAGCATCTTCCAGGCGGAAATTCACGCCATCGAGAAGTGTATCCAGTTTAACATCGAGAGAAACTATCATAGACAAGAGATTATCATCATGTCCGATAGTCAAGCAGCCATCAAAGCGCTGAGTTCTTACGTAATCAGCTCAAAAATGGTATGGAGATGCCTAGAACAATTGAATGAGCTAGGCGAGAAAAATGGAGTTACTCTCACTTGGGTCCCGGGACATAACGGGGTACAGGGTAACGAGATTGCAGATAGTCTTGCAAGGAAAGGGGCTCAAACACCCTTTGTAGGACCTGAGCCGTTCTGCGGTATCAGCAGTAACATAATATTAGAAGAGATTAAAAAAGAATTGGGTAGTAGAAGAACCGATAATTGGAACAATCTCTTGGGGCTGAGACAGGCCAAGATACTTCTGGGTGAATATAACCAAAAAAGATCGGAAGCCTGCATCTGCCTGAGCAAGAACAGGCTACGTATTGTAACAGGGATCCTTACCGGGCACTGCCGACTAAAAGGACACCTAAGTAAACTGAGAGTAGTAGAGGATAGTGAGTGCAGATTCTGTGAGGAGGAGGACGAAACCTCCATTCACATCCTAACTGAATGTGTAGCACTCCAAAATCCAAGGGCACTATATCTAGGAGGATATCAAATAGAAGAGGGAGACTTACCTAACTTGAAGCCACTTCAAATCCTACACTTCCTTGAGAAAATAGGATTGGAAGGGTCGCTATAGGCATTGAGACATTTCCTTAGTGCAGTGGCGACAGAAGGGGGCACAATAGATCTTTTAGGTCGCAGTGTATTAACACCCCATTATCAACATAACATAACATACATTTATTATTTATTGTAGTTAGATTTTTATTTATTTTTAAAGATGTGTTACTATGTTTTGTTTTCTAATATTTGACATTTAAAAAAGAGCCGGTTGCAAAAACGATGATTAATATTTAGTAGCCTGATCACATTAAAATTTGACAGAGGTTTTGACTTGGTAATTTCATGATGTAAGTAGGTAAATACTAAATGTTTGGTTTATCCTGTAGGTTACCGTTGCAACTTACAACCTTATAACTGCTGGAGTAAGACTGTTTATTTTTTAAGTGTTGAGACATTTAGTTAAATAAAGCATGAATTACAAATAACATAACTTTCATTATCCCTTCTTGTTCTATAGTAAAAATGTACACCAACTGTTTATTAATTTATTTCCAAAAGTAACGTTTTTTTAAAGTATCGCGTTACTTTTGCAGTAATGCGTTACTTTTGCAGTCACGCGTTACTTTTTCAGTAACGCGTTACTTTAAAAGTAACGAAGTTACAATAACGCGTTACTTTCGGTAAGTAACGAATAATTCGTTACTTTTTTAAAAAAGTAACGGTAACGATTATATAACGCGTTACTTTGCATCAGAAGTAACGATAAAGTAACGCGTTACTTTTTTTTAGTAACGGTCCCAGGTCTGTTCTATACTAACATAAAAAATTTCGCTTTTACCTTTATTGGAAAAATTAGGTGCTCTGCTATGATTTGATAAAAATGAGCATGTCAATAGACAGGGCTACCCTGAGCACTATAGTTTTAATTTTACTGAAAATATTATATTAGGATGTGCTTTTTTTAAAGTCACTTTTTTGCAAATTTCTGTTATTTATTTGTTATAAGAAAACGTGTTGTAAATTTATTTCTTACGAAATTATGAATGCTACCGCTGGCAGTGAACATGTTAAGTATTAACTATTTTGAAAGAAAAATATTCATTCATAAAAAAAAATCACAAGAAGACCACTAAGGCTTAATAAAAATGATTGGTCTAAAAAATGTTAATAAGTTAGAAGATGTCTTTAAGAAAATATCTATATGTGGGAGAAAATAATGAGTATGGCTTCACACAGAGCAATGTTAACATTCTTTGAATTTCAAACACCTCAGAGAGACAAGAGCTAGAGAATAGCTAAGAGTTGCACAGAAAAGAAAATTGACAGAAATCGTCCAAGTGCTCTAGAAATAAACCATATTTTAAACCTTGATGCCTTAGGACTATTATTTTTAGAATGTTTTTTAGTTAAATTTGTTAAATATTGAAAATTTACATCAATTCAATAAGTATTATTTCAATAAACTTACACTGGCCTGAAGCAATGCAACAGTTTTATAATACTCAGACAATTCATCACTTAGGGTGGCAATTAAAGCCTGGCAAATCATACCCCTTTGTTTTTCATTTTCTTCACAGTACCTCTTTAACTGATTGTGAAGAAAACTCATACCAGTCAATCGTTCGAGAATTCCCTTCTGGAAGGGTGTGAGGTATTTTCCAGCTTTGGGATCTAGAGTGAACCCCAGACCACCTGGTTCCTTACGCAAAAATTTTCCCTCAATGCCTTGGAATGAATATATGACATCTAGAAGGAGATCTTGTTCATTTACAGCTGATAGACCTAACAACAAAAAAGTTAAATATATAAAACTATTCAAATAGTTGTTTCATAGAAGGGACAAAACATATTTCTTTTCATGGTAAAAAAAAATGCAGGTGTCCTTCACATAGGTGTCCCAATTTAAATATAAATATTGATAAAATCTCATCTCATTTTTAAGGATATATTTAATATTGATGTGTCATGCAGTCATTTTCTAAATATAGCTTGAATCTTAGTAAATGTAGGCAGATATAATAAAATATATGCATTTTGTATTTTTTGTTTGTTTGTATATGAATACATGAAAATTTGTATAGTTGAAATTCAGTCTGTTTCAAAAGACTAATAAGGTTAGATGTTAGATATCCCTTCATAGCAGTTTGAATATTTATGCATTTTTCAGATAAACTATGTAATATAAATTATATGATTTCTACATAGTTTAGGATTAGAGAGAGATGCTGCTTTATTGTAAAGCTTGAAGTGTTTATTCAGTTTAATCTCCATGAGCTACTTCCAGAAATTGTATTATTTTTCCGTAAATTCAAATTCAATATAAATTGGTTATTTTGCTTCCATTACTTTAACAAAAAAATATGTAAAATACTAGGTAAGTAACTTGGTATTCCTTGTCATTTTCTCTATGTTTTTAACATTCAGCCTTAAGTTAGACTAAAAATGAGTCAAATAATCAATATCATTTCTTACTAGTTGCTTTTGAAGAAGAAGGAATATCAGTCCTAGACCAACAAGATGTAATTGTAGATATCCCAGAATGCACTCGAGTTGCTGATGTACTAGCACTACTGTTTCTTTTTCTATCTCTAGGATCATACAGATTTCTTACACTTTCTTGCGAACTTGAAGGTTCCAGATTAGTTTGAGAATGAAATTTATCCAACTCTTTTGAAATTGTGTGCCAAGTAGGAACATCACTTTTAAAAGGTTTGTGCATCAAATCTTGTGACAATTGATACAGAAAACTTAAAGAAGCACATCTGTTTTGAAGAATTGTCTAAAAAAAAATCACATTAACAATAGTTAATAGAGAAATACTATAATTTTATAATTTGTTAAAAATTAAGAACTCACAGATTCACATAATTTGGAATACAAGACATCAAATTTATCAAGCTTTTCTTTGGCTTGTGAAGATAGTCTTTGCCTAATTTGTTCAACAATATAGCTTTCTTGGCCTGGATTATTGGTTGATAAAGGTGATGAAGATAAGAAATGAAACGCAACTTTACATAAATTTGAAGCTACAACTGAAAAATCATATTAATAGTTTGTACTGGTCCTTCAATAAAATCTAAGTTACCTGGATTATTTTTAGATAAACTATTACAAAGTTTTAAAATCAAATCTGAAACAGCACTGCTTTCTACATTTTCAACGAGATCCATCTCGAACTCATATAATTTTAATTAAAATCGAAAATTCATTAATCCTAAAATTTTATGCAATTTGTTGTGATTTCAAACGTCAATTTGAAAATTATCAATTTTATAATCAGGGCAGGCAACTTTAAAAATAAACAGAAAAAAGCAACTGAAAACCCTCATGAAAACTGAATGAACCATAGAAGTTCAATTCTATGGAACGAAAATCTAAGACTAAGACCACATACTTTGATTTTCTTTTACTATACGGAGAATTGTCGCATTGCGCAGCTTTCTGAGTGCCTTTTAAAAGGAGATAGAAAACTCCGCCATTTGCCGTGTTTGAGAATCCACATCGGATGCACTTTTTACATCTCGAGCGTTTTTTTATCCACATCGGACACATCTGTCCCATTACATTTACGTATATACTGAATCACGTGATCAAAGATTTACTACATCTCATGCCGCGTTTGAGAATCCACATCGGATGCATCTGAGATGTAAAAAATCTTTGATCACGTGATTCAGTATACGTAAATGTAATGGGACAGATGTGTCCGATGTGAATAAAAAACGCTCGAGATGTAAAAAATGCATCCGATGTGGATTCTCAAACGCGGCAATTTTGAATCGTTATTACGTGTTGCCTACATCTTGGCGCAATATTTTTAATAGGGTGCGTTTTATTCATCCGCTTCTGCTTCGGAATCACATACTTTAATTTTCTTTTACTATACGGAGAATGGTCGCACTGCGCAGCTTTCTGAGTGCCTTTTAAAAGGAGATAGAAAACTCCGCCATTTTGATCCCTTATTACGTGTTGCCTACATCTTGGCGCAATATTTTTAATAGGTGCGTTTTAGGGGCCTATTCAGTAACTCTGAACGACGTCGTTAATAGACGATAATCGTTCACAGACGACTTTTCTTATTCAGTAGACAACGATTGTCGTTGAAAATAGACAAACATGGTTGTAAAATTGTCGTTCATCAACGATAGCCAAAGAGCTGTCGTTAATAATATGAAGTGTCGTTATAGTGATTTTTGCATTCCCTCTCATTTTTTATTGTGAATCAGGATATGTTCTAAATAATAAAAGCACTTTTTTACAAATTTTACAACTAAATTGCCATCTATACCTAATACAGCAAGTACAATTTGTAAAGAATTTTTTCCAATTTATTTAAGTATTTTAAAAATAAATCTGATTCAAAGTTAGGATTGCCCATTCAACCATTTACTATTGGATTCTTATTAACAGTGCTGTTCCTAAAGTAGCACTGCGAAACAGTAACAAAACCTATATTATGGAAGTACCTATAATACTTCTCCGTAACCTACACAAATTTGGTTTGTCTTTCAAATCCAATAAATACAACTTGTACTGTTCTCGAGTTGTTTTTGTATTCTTTTGGAATAGTTCTGTTTTTTTTAATATATCCATACTCATTTAAATAAACCCTACATACAATACGACCAGCAAAAATGGCTCGCGAGAAACAGAATTCCTACGAATCGAGAATCGACCCCCTGGGGCCCAATTCCTGACGCCTTCGTTAACTTATCGCATGCGATAACGTATGCGACTTGATGAAAGTGTATTCCTGAGCTGGCGGCATTCGTCAAATTTATTAACGTATGCGCTAAGAAATGGTGATTTTCAAAGAGCGCTCATGACCGTTCGACAACCACTTTGTCGCATTCGTTTAGGTGAAAGTAAGGTTATAATTGTATCAATTAATCCTGCTTTATCATATGTGATTCGTTTTTCTATCTATTGGTTTTGTTTTGTGATTTATTGGGAAATATTTATTTTTAATTTGACTTTTTTGAAAATTTTATTAGTTATTAGAATATAAAAATTAAACTTTTTGTACCATAAATATATATATTTTATTTAGTATGGATGATATAGAAGAAATATGAGTTTTACAGGCACTAAACAATGTTATAAATTCTACTAAAGTTTCATGCTGTTTTTCCGTTATTCGTGAACCACACCGTTCCATTTTTAATATTCTAAATCTAAACCACTCCAATTCTCAAGTCGAAAATACAAATAATCATAGTTAAAACATCTAAAAACCAGAAATTATTAGACATCTGCAATCCATTTAATTTTATTATTTTTGTCAATTTTGACATATGTCAATGCAATTATCTCATATTCAGTGATACCATCTTTTGTATTCTCAATCCTCATTGGTTAAGACTATGCAATAATCAAAGACTCTTCGTTAACACGTTCGACTTGATTCGCGATTATCGCATGGTGTTCAGGAATACGAAATTGCTGTCGTATGCGTTAACGACCATACGTTACTTAGCGCATGCGGCAGTTAACGCATGTTTCGAGAATTGGGCCCCTGATCGTGTTGTAGGTTAAGAACAATAATTAATATATTCTGAAAAACAAATGAATATATCTACTGGTAGAATTTTTATTTTACGTTCCAAAAAAATGTCAAATATACCGGGTGTTCAAATTAAAGGGTTACAGTTAAATACCGCCTTTTATAAAAAAAAACAAAGTTTTATAGTTTTTTTGGGGAAAACAATTTGGTTAAAATTGTTTTTTATAGCAAACCATAATATGGCCAACTTTTTTTCGCGCAGCAAAATTTTCAAATAGGTGTTACTCAATAAGTAGAAATCTAATAAAAAAAATGTTTCCTTTAGAAGTTTCTTATTTTTTTATGAACTCTAAGAATACCTACCTATGTAAAAAAATAGGTTTCCAATTTGAAAAAAAGAATCCACCTCGATATGGCCATATTATGGTCAGCTATAAAAAAAATAATTTGGCCAAAATGTTTCCCCTAAAAAACTATAAAACTTTTGTCTGATACTTTTTTTTATAAAATTCATATTTTTGGCGATATTTAACTGTAAAACTTTAATTTAAACACCCGGTATAATCATCAACATACGTTCTTTTATCACAAAACACTAAATTATAATACCAACTTACTAGAAATCATCGTTCAGATTTGGTAACTAAAAACAACGTAACGACTTTGTTATTGAATAGAGTTTCAAAAATTATCGTTATAAAAGTCGTTGGTTGAACTGTCGTTAGCTTAACGATGTCGTTCATAAACGATAAATTACTGAATAGGGCCCTTAATCATCTGCTTCTGCTTCGGAATTGTCGGTTTTCTTGTTTTAATCTGACAGGTTAAAGCGACTAAACCGACAATTCCGGAAGCAGAAGCGGATGATTAAAACGCACCTGATATTTTGCTTGCTGCTGTCAGTGTCAGTGAATATTATTTTTGAAGTCACAGTTTATTGCTAAAGAATCAGTTAGCTCACTCGGACCAGTTGAAAGTTCCAAAATAACATCCACTTCAGAGATACAAATTCAGGATACGCAGAAGACTGCTGTTTTATTATAGGCGGTTGTCATATATAGTATTATCCGAGTTGCACAGTGTATAAACTGAAACATTGAGATCCAAAGTGCCGACGCGGAGTGAGCGATCTGATTCTTTAGCTGTAAACTGTGTCACAGGGTTCAAAATGGCCGCGCCCCACATACTTTGATTTTCTTTTACTATACGGAGAATGGTCGCATTGCGCAGCTTTCTGAGTGCCTTTTAAAAGGAGATAGAAAACTCCGCCATTTTGAACCCTTATTACGTGTTGCCTACATATTGGCGCAATATTTTTAATAGGTGCGTTTTAATCATCCGCTTCTGCTTCGGAATTGTCGGTTTTCTTGTTTTAATCTGACAGGTTAAAACGACTAAACCGACAATTCCGGAAGCAGAAGCGGATGATTAAAACGCACCTGATATTTTGCTTGCTGCTGTCAGTGTCAGTGAATATTATTTTTGAAGGCACAGTTTATTGCTAAAGAATCAGTTAGCTCACTCGGACCAGTTGAAAGTTCCAAAATAACATCCACTCCAGGGATACAAATTCAGGATACGCAGAAGACTGCTGTTTTATTATAGGCGGTTGTCATATATTGTATTATCCGAGTTGCACAGTGTATAAACTGAAACATTGAGATCAAAAGTGCCGACGCAGAGTGAGCGATCTGATTCTTTAGCTGTAAACTGTGTCACAGGGTTCAAAGTGGCCGCGCATTATGTTGGGCGTATCGGACCTCTCTCTTGCCTCATATAGTAATCAAACCATATGTTCCGTATATACCCGGAACTTACCATGTTTGGTTAGCGTGTTTCAGTCTGGTTTTATTGGTTGGTGGATAAAGTGCAAAGATTTACGGAACGATTGTCAAATGTCAATGATCAGTTGTCGTTGTCATTAAATTTCAAAATTTTATATCAGCCCAGACCAGATAAACACAAATGAGTGTTTTATTTTTTATTTAGTATATTTTATTAAGGCCTGTGATAAGACCTATTCATTTGGAAGAAATGGACGAAGCAGTTGCGGATTTCTTTTTAAATATGGTTTCGAGTTCTAGCAGTAGTGACGATGAGTTTCTTGCTAGAGGACCTATGGGTAGTAGATTATTTATAACAATAATTTAATTTAAACAGAATGAAATAGTGATGTAAGTAATTCAAGTATTCCAATACTTAGGTATATTTTTGTTTTAGAATATCGTCCAAGAATAAGAAACTATGTGGAAGAAGTAGTGAATGAGTATAGAGATGACGAATTTATTCAAAATTTTAGAATGAATAGGTATACTTTTAACCACATATTAGCATTAATTGAGGAAAATATAGCAACTGGTATATTAGACAGAGGTCGTCATACAATTAGTGCAAAAGAACAATTATTAATTACACTTTGGTATTTTGGAAGTCCTGACAGTTATAGGTATGAACTATTTTCTTCAATAAAATATATGTGAATAATCATTGATCAATTTTTTAGATCTATTTGTGGTCGCTTCAACATTGGTCGAGCAAGTGCTCTGCGAAGTGTTAGACGGGTTACAAACTCTCTACTGGCTATTGGCCCAAATATCATTGTTTGGCCAAGTGGAAATTATGTCAATGAAATTAAGAATGGTTTCTCATTAATGGGCATGAGAGACACAATAGGGTGTATTGACGGTATGCATATTCCAATACCTAAACCAAGAGAACATGGTCAGTCATACATAAACAGAAAAAAATTTGCTAGTCTTGTTTTACAGGTATTATTACAAAACACATATTTAATATTTTTTATCTATGACCTTTAAAATTAATCCTTGAAGAACCAATAAAAATACTTGAAAATACATAAGTAATTATACATATGTGTAAAAGAAGAATTCCATTTACATAGCACTTTCATTATAACACCCAAAAGTGTGTGTTAAAGAGCAATGTTTTTTCAACAGGGTTTACACTCTTTAAGCTGTATGTTTATCAAGTTGCCTTAGAAATGCAGTCATTTTTGTTCTGTAATTGTATTAACTTTGCACTGTCATTGAGTTTGACAGAAGTGTCTTTGCAAAATGTTTTCTAAATTTTGATAATTTATCAGTTTTGTCTTAATGTGGTCGTAGATAAAATATTGTATGACACTCGTACGTGAATTACTTTTGCGTACTTGTATCATAAATAACTATTATTACTAAGTAATAAAGTTTTCTTATCATTGGGCACATTCAGGAATTTGGAGCTAGTCAGCACTTTTTCGCTTGAGTTCACTGGAACTGTCAATTAGTGTTTGACGTTGATTTGACATTTCATTGATGTTTACAATATGCAGCGATAAAAGCGACCCAGAATATATGCTTTCCCTCTGTAATGCAGCAGATTAAAATGTGTTAATTCTGCTAATCCCTTGAATAAATCGCTGCAGTTCCCTGAATGTGACCATAACTTTCCCAATTCTGTTTTAAAAATATAAACCTTTTTTAGGGAGTTTGTGACCATACATTAAAATTTACACATTGCTATGCTGGGCAAGTAGGATCAACTCATGATAGTAATGTTTTAAGACGAAGTGAAGTGTGGGCATTTCTTAATAACATTGCAAATGATAAATTTCCAGAAGATACCCACCTTCTTGGAGACAAAGCATATCCCTGCCTCCCTCAACTAATGACCCCATATAGAGACAACGGACATTTAACACAAAACCAAAAGAATTTTAATTTTTTCCTATCTAGAACAAGAATAACTATTGAACGTGCCTTTGGATTATTACAAAAAAGATTTCGTTGCCTCAAAGATCTGCTAGATGTTCGTTGTTTAGAGTGGGCTCCAAAATATATAATAGCTTGTTGTATATTGCACAACATTTGTATAATGCAAAATGACGTTCTTGAAATTTATGCAATCAATGATGATCGTGATGAGGACAATGAAGATGGTGAAATAATGTTGTGGGGAGCCGATAGAGAAAGGGGTTTACTTGGCAGAGCAAAGAGAGATAGACTCTGTCAACAGTTAAATGGACCTGAGCAGAATTTTTAAATTATATAAATTTTTTATATTTAAAATGCAATAAATGTTAATGAACTATAAAACGTATTTTTTCTGGTACAATCATATATTTGTTAAGAAACCATACATAAATAAAATATTTTAAAATTTATCTTATTTAATAACTCAAAATATTACCATACAAACATAAATAAAAAAAAAACTCAAAATATAAGTATACAAATAAATAAAGGAAATAAAATTCTTATTAAAAAAATAACCAAAATAACTGTTTACACAATCTTAGCTGTGAGAAGAAAAACTGGCAGAACCACCATTGCTACCATTGGAGAATCCTCACTGTAATTTGTCTATTCTTTTTTTTTTGTAGTTTTCTTTGAACCAAGTGAACATTTCCTTTTTTAAATCCATTTTTTCTTTATGACGTCTCTCCCTACCTTGTTCGGTTTGATATGGAGAGTACTTTCTTTGTTTTTTTTTGGGAGTAACTGCTTCACTTGAAAATGAATTCTGGCTACACCCAGGGGACAAATTCTTTTCCATTTCATTGGAAATACAGCGTATGGTAGTAACACCTGAACTTGAACATGTACTAACAGGTTCAAAATGAGGATCTCTACAAAAAATTTCTTCCATGTCTTTATAAAATGCCCATGAAATATTCTTGTTTCCACTTTTATTAAGTTCCTGCTTCACTTTATCATATGATTTTTTCAGGTTTCTCCACTTCTCGTCACATTTTAAACCGTCTTTTTTATACCCAAACTCTCCCATTTTTGCACTAATTAGCTCCCAAACTTTCTTTTTTGTGTAAGCAGATGAACTGAATTTTTCTTTGTAGGCACTAATTAATAATTTCACCATATTATCGGTCCATTTTTCTTTGGTCTCTGAAAATGCTGCAGGAGTATTTAGTGTACCCTGTAGAATGGGTGAATTTTCCTCTGTTTCCCTATTAACTGAAGATTCCTTGATTATTAATTTGGTACTATAATCAAAGTACACATTCTCGACATCTGCAAAACAAGAATGGGACATCAATAGCTGTTCTTCTACAATAAGATCCGCTGTCCCTAATCTCGTTTTGCAAAGCCCACAAGAAAAAGTTTCGTCGCCCTAGAAAATAAAATATTTTGCAAATACTTTTTCAACTATTTTTATAACATACTTACTGCATCCATCTCGCAAACAAAAAACAAATTTTACAATAAGCACTCTACTCTTTGCAATAACAATTATTAACAATTAGGCATTCCAACGACCTGTCCAAATGGCTACCAGTGGGTAATGACAGTTTAGATATGGCAACCCTGTTGTCATTAACAGGGTCAATGATACATACATATATAGATTGCTCAAAGCTGGTCGTTTACGAGCGGCTATATTGCCTGGCAAATATTTATTAATTTGAATCGGTTTAGCAAAAATGTGTTTTAAAACCAATTTTTAGCCTTTAGATATTAAATAAAAATAATTGCTTACATTTTTACTTCAAGGCATACGCTTATGTTTATTTTGAAAAATATGGATAATCAATCTATGTAACTATCTATTTCATTGACCTTGTCAAATCACCAGGTCTACAGGGTTGCCATAATTTTGCAATATCATAACCCGTCAAAGCCCACTGATAGGCATTCAGTTTGGAATGCCTAATACAAAAACAACTTGGCTGGACTGACAAATGACATAAAAATACCAAAACAACCATCTCAAATCGTTGGTTGTACTGGTGACATATGAGTGACCGATTTTTCAGGAAACCGCGTTCCATAAATCGAATATATTTCAGCAGGTGTGTATTTACGGAACACAAAAATTGGAACCAAAGCAACCGAGGTGATTAACGGAACATACGGAAAGTATGTGCCGCGCCCAATGAACTGGAGTGGGGTAGAATGCTTGTCAATAGGCTTGAGATGCGACTCTATGGGCGAAGACAGGTTATTTTTCATCTCACTCGGGAGTATTTATAATGACCATTTTCTATTTCACTTTGTTATTGTCTGATCCACCAGCCTGTGGATTGAACAATAACAATGTGAAACAGAAAATGGTTATTATAAATACTCCCGAGTGAGATGAGAAATAAAAATGGCTGCGCCCATAGAGTCGCATCTTGTTCAATTGATAAAATATGCACATTAGCTTTCTACCCCACTCCAGTTCATTGGCCGCGCCCTATGTTGGGCGTGTCGGACCTCTCTCTTGCCTCGTATAGTAATCAGTATGTGTTCGGAATTGTCGGTTTTCTTGTTTTAATCTGACAGGTTAGAACGACTGAACCGACAATTCCGGAAGCAGAAGCGGATGATTAAAACGCACCTGATATTTTGCTTGCTGCTGTCAGTGTCAGTGAATATTATTTTTGAAGTCACAGTTTATTGCTAAAGAATCAGTTAGCTCACTCGGACCAGTTGAAAGTTCCAAAATAACATCCACTTTAGAGATACAAATTCAGGATACGCAGAAGACTGCTGTTTTATTATAGGCGGTTGTCATACATAGTATTATCCGAGTTGCACAGTGTATAAACTGAAACATTGAGGTCCAAAGTGCCGACGCGGAGTGAGCGATCTGATTCTTTAGCTGTAAACTGTGTCACAGGGTTCAAAATGGCCGCGCCCTATATTGGGCGTGTCGGACCTCTCTCTTGCCTCGTATAGTAATCAAAGTATGTGGCTAATATGCACATTGGCTGCGTTCATCCGCGCCACATGCTACCTGATCGATCTGGTAGCGCTCTCGAGTGGCACGTATGAACGGTGTATTTTGACATTTCGCTCAAGGAGCGGCCGCCATTAAAAGTAGCGCATTTTATTTACGTCTGATCGGTGATCACTGATCTGTCTTACGCACTTACGTCCACGGTTTGATTGGTGACTAGTAGGGTTATATTAGCATATTAGCAATTGAAAAATAAACAAACAAATCTTCAACCAGAGACATTCAACTCAAAAGTAAAATGAATAAACCAAAATCAAATGTCACTTTTAAACATGGTTCATCCGTGCATAAAGATCGATCAGGTAGCGAAAGTGATCGCTACTTTTGTAGCGCTCCTTGAAATGGCGCGGATGAACGCAGCCATTGGCTTTCTACCCCACTCCAGTTCATTGATGAAGACTAAGAGATAAGGAGATGAATCGACATACTCAAACTACGGTCCCAAAAAACGCATGCTAATTGAACTTCTATCATTAACCGCATGGGCGCTGGTACCGCATACGTTGTTAAAAATACATGGCTTCTTATGGGAATTATACATAATTTTGTCAAAATAATAAAAATAAACTTGTTTACAGCTAAATAAAGCACAGAACATACTGTTGTATTTATTTCTAAATAAGTCTTGCATGTTTTAAATGATAAATTATTTAATTTTATCTATATAAAATACAAATTAGGTATGTATGGCCAAATTCGAAAAGGTTTCTTAATTGCTGAAATTTTATAAGTACAATTTTGTGGCAATTTTTTTTTTTTTTTTTAATTGAACTAATATATAGTTTTAAGAGTAAAATAAAACACAGTTAACAGATTTTTTTTATTGTTGTAATACAAGTAAAAAGGGAGATTGGGGAATGTAGATGGTATTACCTCATCCTTTAATTTCAGCTTTCCCCTTTTTGTTTTGCTAACAGTGCCATCAGTAAAAATAGTCTCATAATTGATTATATTTTCTAAAAAGTATAGAACAGCATCATCTCTAGAAAGTGCTTTATCGGCACTAGGAACGCCACTGTTCTAAACGTTTAGTATCCTATAAAAAAACATTTACTGACACAATTGGGGTCAAAAAAAATAACAGTAGCAATTTAACTCTTTATCTAGCATTAAAACTATATAAATAATAAATTTTCTTTTCTAGTAAGTCAAATTTAATGCATAATTATTGTTGTTTGTAAGTCAGCATCTATAACTGTAAAATTTTATATTATAGAAACTTATAAGATAAACTACACTTCGTAAGGACCGTTCCACCGTTGTGTTAAACGAAGTTTAAAATGACATTTTTACATTAACAATGTCATATTAATCTCCGTTTAACACAACGGTGGAATCGACCCTTTATAATTCAAATAAAAAGTAATTCTTTTGAAATTTGATGGAAATCATTATATGAGTTTTCCTTGCTGTTTTGTCTTTCAAAAAATCACACTACCGATATTATAAAAACTCTAACACCAGAACAAAGTTCATAAATAAAAATATAAACACCACTAAATATTAAAATATTAGATTAGAGTCCACCGTTGGGTTAAAACGAACTTTAAATTATTACTTAAACCGTGATGAGGCCACCGTGGTGTCCACGAACCGTGGGAGTCACAAAGCACATAGAGGTTCCACGTGAATGACCAAGGTCAAAACCGACAACTGACATTTTTTATGCTATTTGCTCCAAACTCTAGATGGGGCTACTGGTGAAATTATGATTTCTTACTCCATTTTTAAGCCTTATGGGAGAAAAACTTAACCAAAGACTCCAAAGATGTGACGTGTATTTATTTATGTTCTTGGTTAGTTTCATTTTTCCGTCTGATTTTAGTGATTTTTTGTTGGCTTTGGCTTTTGGTTTCTGTTTATAGTTTCGTCTTGGTTATTTGCAAAATTGTGATGTTTCGCTTTTTTATTTCCTACTGTGTTTTGCAATAATTTTGGTGCTACGTTGGAAACTTCGAGAAAAACTTCATTGATTCACCATATATTCACATTCACCATGCATCTGCATCATAAAAAGACAAACGGGGACAACAATTAATTGATAATTAATTTATCACTGGACTAGATTCCGAAATCTGTATCACCATCTGTATTTGGAAGGAAAATACCTATTTATCATTGAATGAATAGTTAAAAGGATTCACCTTTTAATACAATACCTATATTACATTTGTCCTCATTTAAAAAGACATTTATAAAATATATAACTTTAGTGTTAATAAAATGTAATATCCTAGTGTCTACTTCACATTTACATTATTGATAGGTATTTTAAAGATTTGAGATTATATATCTATTTGCTCCAAGTAAGTATTCCTTAAATATGTATTATTATTTGTATTTATTTTTATCTAATAATATTTATTTAATTTATTAATAAACATATTTTAAGAATGTTCTATTTTATTATTTATTGATATATTTATTTAATAAAAATATGCAGAACAAACTCTCCACAATAGACCCCTTATAACAAATTAATTCTTCAAATTTGGTATAATCGACCTAAATTATTTTGTAAAATAAAAGTTTCGAACTTACTAGTTCCATACTTTATTTTATAAAATAATTTATGTGGAAATCATTTAAAATTTAATTTAAAACTACTACCTACTCCTAAAAATTACAATTTGAATTTACCGCCATCTGTCAATTGTCATTTTAGTTCCAGCTCCAAACACAAGGTGGCGCTAATTTGGTTTAAAAGTTTAACATTGGCGTGGGGTCTCTAGAAGATACATGCTTTGTGGTGGGAGTTACCGTTCTAAGAGTAAGTCGAGTAAGTGTTCTGTGGCCTATACCAGTCGGACGAACGAAAGACCCTAATGTGAGGTTATTTTAATTTTTCATTATTGTCCGTTTCTCTCATTCTCTAGAATGGAATATATTTTGCCTGTAAAAATTATAAACAGATCGAATTAGTTTCAACATTTTTAAAAAGTATAAAATTATATTAGTTGTAAAGACAAGGATGGGTAAGTATTCAAGTGACTCAGAAAATGAAAAGCGCAGCAGTAAAAACTCGAGCAAAAATAGAAGCAGACGTAGGTAAGACTGAAAAAGTGCTTGTCCAGAAGTTAGCACTAGCATTAAGTTCAAAATGCAGAATTAACACTGTTCGTAGATCTTCATCTTCAGATTCAAGCGATTCTAAAAGCAGAAGAAAACGGGAACAGAGATCCAACAGGAGATCTAGAAGTAGAAGTGCTGATAGGACCAGGGACAAGTATTCGAGGAGCAGGTGAGATCACTGAGATCTACTTACTTATTAAGAACTTTCAAAATACTATTTAACTGAGAAATAAGTCAAGTTAAATGGCAATATAATGCCCATACTGCAAAAGAATTTATTAAGCCTTGTTTGTAGGTATATTACTACTAAGTACTAGTTAATCATTTTAAATAGCAACCTGATACTGAAAGGATAAGCTAACCTGCCAAATATCTGTGTTAT